GTTGTCTGAGCGCGTTGTCTGAGCATGCTGTCTGAGCGCTGCTCGGTCTGAACGTAGTTCAGATGGTGCGCGCGCAGCTTGGCCCGAGATTCCATCGAGGAGCTATCCAAAGGGCGTTCAGCCCGTTACAGAACCCGTGTGGCTGGCGAACCCGTGAGGTACGTTACTATGTAAAGCTATAATAAAGTTAGACTTGTACTATATTTCGTGTCTATGTTGTATAAACACTAAGGGATTGCTATGAACTATTAGTACTTATGAACGTAAGAACTCTAGGTCTAAACAGTCTTACGAGAGAATCGCTTACGTTCTGGGCTCCAAAACCCCCACTTGCAAGCCTAGTCTTTCTTTTTGGAGATTTAACACGTCCTGCTACGTTAGTGTAAGCTATGGTCCAAACCTGATTGAAGTCGAGTCACTCTTACTCCCTCAATGGTCGCTTCTGTGACATATCGTACACACACTACTTGCTTGGTCTGTTCGATACGCTGTGCTCTTGCCAATGCCTGCAGCTCGACAAAGGGGTTCCATTGTTGTTCAAGCAATTATATGTATCTAGCAACGGTCAAATTGATCCTAGGTCCGTTAGTACACAAACTGCTTCTTTCTAGTGTATGTACGTGTACAGACCCTTCAGCTCCAGTACCTAGTGTCATGAAGAGAATGTTCGGAACATAAGTTCTCCTCAAGCTACAGCAGATAAGTGAGCATCTCATCGTCTGATTGGTGTAGTGCCTCCTGTATTCTCCTAGGACCATTGTTGCAGAAGAGACGCAATTCGTGGATGGACTGGAGTGTGATGGATGTGCATCTTCCATTTTCACTGACTTCCATCTCGACCTGTTTCTTATAGTGCTGGTATAGGTCATTGCACTGATGTCGCTCATAGTCGGACAATTTGATCAACTGTAGGCAGGCTATAGGCTCAGGTAGGTCGAGGATATCTCGTGTTCGCCGAAGACAGATGGTGCTCAATACTGTCTGCAAATTCGCGAACTAATTTTCCCGGCCAGTCAACGTTGGTGCAATGATGTACTTGCGAAACGTTGGCATGCGCTCTAGCTCTGTGAGACAAAGGAAGGCAACCAGGCTGCCCAAATCTTCGAGACGATTCTGGATGGGTGTTCCGGTAAGACACCAACGACGATGCACTGGAAGCTCTTGGATCGACTTGAACATCTTGGTGTTCTGATTCCGGATCTTGTGAGCTGCATGATATCTGGTCAGTGAATAAAGATATGCTTGAACAACACAGGCCCTACCTTCATCCAAAACAATGCGAAACCAGTGAATTCTTGATAACGGCGACAGATTTTTCTTAGTGTCCTCAATGGCTATGGCATATGTAGTGAAGATAACGTCTTTCTCGAGAAGAAGGTGTGTTTCTGCATGCCGTTCCGTACTGATGTGTTTGTGGAACGTCACTTTGTAAGGATACGTGTGTCTGCGTCTGTCAATTGGTTTCACAACAGTAAGTTAATGAACTTATGTGGGAATCTCGTCTATCCAATTATCAATTAAAGCTATCAAAGTCAGCTTTCTTTTTGATCGTGGTGGAGCCTAGCTCATAGTGGATTTACTTGTGGACGGAACGATGATCAATGTTGCTCGTGATGGCTTTAGAAAAGTTGTTGACTCTTTCGCATGCGCTGTCGGAGTCGAGGTGAAATTCTCCGCGTCTGGAAGAGAGCTTGTAATTGCCGATAATATGATTAACGACTTGCCGAGTCCCATGTTATCTGTAAGAATACCTCCTCTAGCCTCACGGTGCTCGGGGGTTTCGGAATTTGTCAGTACATGCTGGAAACTATTGGAAAATCAGTTTAACATTGCTTCCACTATGTGCAATATGGATGCATACCGGATCTCACCCTTTCTGCGCCTTTCTCGCCAATGTGTAAGCTCCGCAGAGGGCCTGCCGCTTTCTCGCTGTGCGATGAAGTCTAGCGCTATCATCTGGTGCCTGTAGTATGTGTCAGCTTACATTTCCCTATCTTAGGTGCAGTGATACTGGCCTCATGAGTGTGCTCTTTATGCGACTCGTATCGGTACGGATCTCGTGCAGTATATTTTTGTGAGGAAGAGAACCAACGATATGTTCCACGTGGACTTGGTGGTTCAGGGAAGACTCCAGATTGCTCTGGGTTGGTTTATGTGTAACGTCAGCAGGCGTTGGCGTGTCCTCTGCCTCGGTCATCATGTCGTCAGGTTTCTCATGGGAAGCCTTTGACATGAAGAATCTAAGGATTGTAATAGGTCTCTCCGCCAGGATTATGCGTTGGCCATTGTAAGAAAACTCCAGAGCTAAGGATGATGTCACCGACTTTGTCAGCATGATTCATCAAGCTCTTCAGGTTCACGTCGACCGAGAACATCACTGTTCCATCTGCAAGTGGTCTCATGTGCTTAAGACTTCCTCCCAACGCCTTCGCTCCAGGTACGCCTGAAACCTAACTTCAAGCCCCACCAGCCGGCGAGCTGCGCTGCAGAAGGCCTTGTCCAGACGAGCAAACGCATAACCATTGCTAGAGAGCTCGAAACAGTCGCCTTTCGGATGGATGTCGAATGTAGCATAGTTTTGACTTGATCCAAGAGAATATGTGCGGTATAAAAAGTCCAAGGCTTCCCGTCGAGGCTGTGCTTTCACGTCGACAACCTGCAAAGAACTCAAAACAATGATCTGGTTTGGTGTGCACTAGTCTTACCGAGCCTAGTAGACACAACGGTTCATCGATCTGTAGATTGTCAAGAGAATATTGTTCTTTTTGCCCGTAGTTTGATATATGGACATGATCGGCTTCGAAGGGCCATGGTCGTTTCAAGGCCACGCGACTGTCAGGTAGCGCGTTCATTGAATTTACTTGTCTACCCATGTATGTCGAATAAGCTGTTGCCGATAAAAGAGGATGCAGAGCTCAAGGGGGTACGTTTGCCCAAGTCCGATGCTTCGAATTCCAACATGACGAATATCGGTCACGAGACTTCGGATAAGTACGACAGCTCGAAGAATGACTGCACGTATTTTCTGACGTTTGTAGCATATCACAAGGTTTGCTCGCAAGACATTCAAGCATGGCTTGCACAGAGCGGCAGCGAAAGAATGGTATAATCTCCAGAGACTTTCCAAGGAAGAAGACCATCCGCACCTTATGGTGGCTTTGGGAGCGTATTGGCACAGCAGTCACTTTTTTATCCTCCAGGAAGAAGCAGAGCAATCACTTCACGATTATCTCAAAGATCCAAGCAACGCATTTGAGTCCCAAGAGCTTTGGACGCAGATGCAGGGCATTGCTGAAGGACTGAGCACGCTCCACAAGCTTTACAAAGGCACAAAGATCGCCTACCATCAGGACTTGAAACCTGAAAACATTCTAACCGTGAAGAGGAAACTAAATATTGCAGACTTTGGCCTACTGGAGCTGAAGCCTATAACATTGCCTGGCGATACCGACATGACCGGCATTCCGAACAATCACGTTACTGGTTTCTACGCCGCCCCTCGCCAAGCCAAATATACTCGAGACTGCGATATATGATCACTAGGATGTATCATGTCTGAAGTTGCGACTTGTGACATCCAAGGCACACAGGGAGCCAGCGACTACAAAAACGCTCGCATAGCCGATGGACCATCCGGCAGAGGCCCTCAACGCTTCTTCCGTGGACAACAAGTCAAGGACGCGGTGGTACGCATGCATACTCAGCTCTATGACCATGTTCAATCTGTCATACCGACCAACGGCGACTTGAACATGCAATTTCAGAGAACCTTTTATAGTAAAGAGTTCTTTGGACTCTTGAATAGAATGTTCAAGCGGAATCGCTCTTCTGCTGATCTACTGGATATCCCAGGTGAGGAAATACCTCTCAATGCAGCGCAAGTTGCCGAAATACTCAAGGAATTACGCGTAGAAGGTTTACCAGCAACTTTGGTAGACAATGGGGTTAAACATCTCAACTTTGACCAATCTCTCCAGGACGCGGAGCGGTTGGAACTTTTAATGGGGGAATGTCTGATAGGATTTGCCGAAATCTTGAATGGAAGAAATCGAGCAAGATTTCCTGCTATAACTGTGAATAATCTCAAGCAATACGTTGTTAATTTACAGCACACGCAGCACGCAGAGCGTCAACAACAAGGCCTTGTCCGTGTGGACCCATTTCTCAAGAGGTTCGGCGAGTTTGGCGAGCTTGTTGCAACACTACCTAGGAGTCAAGAAATCATGGGATTCATTTGGGTACGTGATTGTCTTCACGCAGAGTAAGCGCCGAACTGACTGAGTCCTCCAGGGACCCGTAAAATTCTTGCTCGAAGTATGTTCGGTTCTTTCAGTCAAGGTGTGCGACTGATCCAAACAGCAGACAACAAACACCTGCATGGACGCTTTCAATGGTATTCTCGCTATCTATGGACAGATTGGAAGAGCTCAGCTGTCCTTGTCCACGTATAAAGAATTGTTCCAGAGTGAGCCAAGCCTGACTGAGATCTTAATCGCCGCATACAGTGAAATCATCCAAGTCAATCGATTGCTCGTCAGCTACTTTCAACAGCGCTGTAAGACAGCCCCACCATTTGACCTTGGCTAGATGTTGATAGCGAACAGTCTGGACAGAGCTTTTTGCTACGGCATGGAAGCGGCATAAATCTAGTCTCACGGCCATCATATCCCGCATGATGTCTCGCCTCAAGCTTGTTGATGGCCGGACAAGTGTAGATCAATTTCACTCATTTGGAATCAATTCCCCACACGAAGAGGAGGCCATGAATGACGCAAGTGATGGCCAAAACTTGGTTCGCAGATATGCTGTCTATGCATGGATTAAACCTACCGACATGGAAAATGAACAAGAGTACCTGAGGCGTATTCGCGTTGCATACCCAGGGACCTGCAGGTGGTTGTTACACAATATGGCCTTTCAAGAGTGGTTCGGTGAACAGTCCGACACATTGGCTATCCCAAAAGTATTGTGGCTCAATGGAAAACCTGGTTCTGGTGGGTTCTTGGTGCGTTTATTGAACAATGACTTACAATGCGGTTTTAGGTAAGACGGTCCTTGCATCCCTTGTTATAAAAGAAGCGAAAAAGCTTGAGTCAAGTCCAAAGGTCTTGTTCTTCTACTTCAAACAAGAGGATAGCGACCGAAACAACTTCCTTTCCTTGGCTCGTACTCTGCTTGCCCAAATTGTCGAAAAAACCCCTCACACTCTCGACTACTTTTACAGCAGATGTTGTAGTAGTGGAAGCGCTGTGCTCACTTCTCGCCCCCTCATTGAAGAGTTGTTGAAATTCGCTTTGACCAGTTGTGAGTCTACCTACTTCGTGCTTGATGGTTTGGATGAATGATGTTCAAGGAAGGAAAGAGGAGACATCGTGAGCTGGTTTCGGTACCTTGTCGAGAATGGTCATCCAGAGGATCGCGATGGTATTCATTGTATGTTCATCAGCCAACATCACTGCGCCCGAAAGGACTATCGCGATCTTCCTAGTATCACAGCGGACACAGGCAAAAATGAGGAAGATGTCGAAGCTTTCTGCAAGGTACAAGCCGAAAGACTGGTCCCGAAATTTCAAGTCGAAGAAGACTACACGCACGAGATCGCCCAACGCGTTTCTGCAGCAGATGCAGGTATGTCTGCTTTGAACAATATGCTTGCCTTACTGACAATAGAAAAAACGTCAAGGAGTCTTCCTATTTGCTCATCTTGTTTGGATCAATATCCACAGCCAGAGCTCGCAAGAAAACCTGGACCGTGAGATGGAGACCTTTGAAACTGATCTGAATAACCTAGACAAGGTGTAAGTGATGTAAGTACTGGACGTTTCACTCGGTTGGCTAACTTCATAGCTTAGGTAGGCTCGAATTATGCGGACCATCGAAAACAAACCTGTTACCCCCCAACGCCAGGAGGCTTTACTACTTCTTGGCTGGCTTGTTTGTGCAAAGCGATCGTTGAAAATGCATGAGACACAAACAATGAGGTCATTTAATGTAGATGAAAGGGCTGTTGGGTTCGAACGGGGACAATTTCGAGTTCATCCCAAGGACCTTTGTGAATCGCTGGTGGATGTTCAAGAAGATGGGAGCATTGAGCTGGTTCACATGACTGCAAGAATGTAAGTATTCTGTGATCATAACAGCTGAACGAGATATCTGAGACGCCACAAGGTATCTAGCGAAGAGTGGCTTTATCGACGTCACCGCTAGAGCGCTCCAGATGGCAACGCTCTGCATTGACTACTTGAATTTGCCATCGTTTCAGGACCCTTCAGAAAACCAGGTTCTCGCTAGAGAGTATGGGTTTATGGAGTACTCCATTCTGTATTGGCTTCGGCATTTGGAGGCAAGCATGAGCTCAGCTCCTCCCGATCAGTTTAATCCCTATCGCGACCTCATGGAGTCCCTTGAAGTGATGGTTGAGCAATACAGGAACAAGCCAGCTGTCAGCGTTGCATCAGTCGCCAAATTAGCCTCCAAACGGACTTGAGACGTGCTGCAGCATTTCAACCATCGCCAAAGCTTTGCAAAACTCCAGCCAGCACTTGTCTTGACTGATAAAGAACCGAAGCATTTCGGCGACGTGCGTCTCGAGGAACGTGCTCTTAAATTCGCGGGCGTTGTGAAGGCTGTCCGTCGCTGTATCGAGACCTATGTTAGTCACAGCCCGAATCCCGACATGGCTGGACTCAGCGACATGTACAGTTGCAATCTGTTCAGGTGCCCGAGATTTAGCTGTAGATACTCCACGAACGGATTCTCGACGTTGGAGGAGCGCGAGAAATATGTCGAACGACACGAGCGCCCATCTCGTTGCACAGACGAACATTGCAGGGGCTCTCAAATAGGGTTCGCGACGCAGGCACAACTAACTAGACAGCTCAAGGAGAATCACCCGGACATGACGGAGCTTTAGCACATCTTTCTTACAGATGAGGAGATCAATGACAGCATGCACGAAGTTTCGCCAGAACCCGAAGCTACGACAGAGGATGAACCTCAAATTGTTCCCCAGTTGCAACCCTTGTTGGCAATTTCAGACACAGCAGGCAGTCCAACATCAGAACAATCAGAACCTCAGCCAGCGAAGCCTATGGAGTTTGCCAAGCGCCAGAGAACGAAGAGAGAGCACATTTATTCACGTTGCGACAAACTTTTCACCAAGAATTACAACTTGGATTCGCATCTTACAACTCACGGCGACAATCATCGATGGGAATGCCCACGTTACGAAAAAACGTTCGCCAGATATAGCGATTTCACCCGTCATATGAGACTTCACGATGTAGACAGCGCAGTTACATGCGGTGGCGTACTTTCAGATGGCAGAAGGTGGGGATGTGGAACCAATTTTGCAAGACTCGATATACTTCGCAATCATCACAAATCCAGAAAGGACAGGCAATGCATTGCAAAGAGAGACAGCGAAGAGCAGCCCACGGCTTCAATACCTTGACTGTGGGTTAACAATTCACCTGAAGCACATCGCAAGGCTATTCAGATAGATTGAACTGAGCGCCGGCGTTCGACCTGAAGGATCGTATCAGCCTAGTATACCACAACTATATTTTTCTCTTGAAGAGGTCAGTCGTCTAAGTAAGAGCTTCGATATCATTTCCAGCTTGCTCGGTCATGATTGCAGACCATAAAGTCCAGGGCAGTGCGATCAGATCATGTGCGCAATATTTCCATACCGGTGGTCTGCACCAGAATAGTGCAGACAGCGCATCAGGTGGACTATGCTGCAGTCAGCAAGGCAGATCAAGGTATACCCACCCCTAATATCGTCCAGAGGCTGGAAAGTGAAGCGAGCCTTGTGGCGGCTCTAGACCTTTTTGCAACAGTGCCTGTGCCCGGGCCCTATGCATGAGCACTGTCTGGCCAATAATGTTCGCTTTGCCCATACGACCGCACTTTTTTGAAGTAGAATTTCTGCTTCTGCTGATGTGCCTGTCGCCTACCTTCACTCGCTAAGCCGTAATCTTGGCCTGCCTTAGATAAAAGTGTGACTTTCAGGGTCTTGAAAGTCTGTACACCTTATTAGCATACTAGACAGAAGTAAACCGAAAAACAAGTTTACATTGAAATCTAGGAGGTGGACAGAAAGCGCTTTGCTAGTTGTTCCTACGCTCGGAGCTCTGTAGAACATCTCGATTAACATCTCGATTAGATAGTAACAAGATACGATGAAATCTGTAGGCATATTGAAAGCAATCATAATACGACGACGGCGGATTAAAGAAACAAACGGCCGACGTTAGCGGAGCTCAGCTCTGTTATTGCGCAGGATGGTACAGTAGCGCAGCTTACGAGCACGAAGTTTTCACGGTGGACACGCACTGGGATGATGTACCATTTTAACACCGATATCTATTGGCTACTTTTATACACTGTGTATAGCTAGGATAGTCTTTACTACCTCAAAAGTCAAGGTAAGGCCGGATTACCAACAGTAAGTAGCTACTACTCAAATATCCTTGCATCCCACTTCAAGTATACTTCCCAGAACATACAAATACTTTTTCTTTTTTAAAAAAAACTTAATTGGATATCTTTAACTAATTTATAGAAGTCTAAGGTCTATTCATGTCCGACTCATATCGCTTCTCCGATTCATGCCCCCAGCCATGGTACTTGCTTGCAGTCGAAACGCCCTTAGGTTACCGGTAGTACTCTTCGAGCGCATATGCGGGCTATCCATACGACTACCACCTCCATAGTCCGATCCTGCATTTCCTAGACCAACCATTCTATCCGGCCTCTGCAGAAATAACGCTTGCACTGAGCGCGCGCGATCCTGATCAATATGGTCGGGACTTCGATGGATTGGTGAGGTTATGGATTTGTTGCGAGTGTTCATTTTGGTCATTAATGCTGACATGGCGGCAGTTGGTGATGGATGAGCTGATGCACCTGAGTTTGAGCGTGTTAAGTCAGATGCTCCGGTGGTACGACGTTGCAATAGCTGCGGCATGTCGTTGACCGTCCTGGATCTTCGGCGTCCCATTGGAAATCTTGTCGATGACGACATGGAGGGTGATCGACTTGACGGTGGCGTTGGCAGAGCATGATTGCCCTGTGGTAGCGATCCATAGGTTTGCATCAATTGCTGCAGGTCAATGGCCTGTGGGAGTTTACTCAGACGCCGAATGGCCTTTTTGTTAGAGTCAATGAAAGTCGACATCGCCTTGAGGGCGTTATTTTGCGTGTGCACTTCGTACGTAGGGGTGCCACTTGCAGTGCTCATCGCACGAGCGGCATGTTGCTCGTTGAGCCCCATGATCTGTGGTGTCATCGTTGAAGATTTGCTCAAACTCATCTCGATTTGCGATACAACACGATCGAAATCGACACCGTTGGTGGGGTATCTAACAGTGGGCTGAATGGATGCTTCGCGGGCTAGAATGAAAAAGGACCCGTCCCAAACCTTTCGCTTCAGGATGTTCCAACGAGCACGAGCCGGGTTTCTTTCCATCTCGGGTTGGAATACGGAATGACGGGCGAGCTTGGCGTAGAAACCTTCAAGGCGGTTTGCCATCCTTTCGAGTACTTGCATGAGAAACGTGGAAAGCGCAGTGACGCGTTCAGAATTAGAGGGAGCATCAAGCTCCATGATACTGTCAAAAGCATCCATGCCAGTACAGGCTTCTTCCCTGATTGCTTCAAGAAACTCCATATCGTATTGAACAGACCGCTGCGCATATGCGATGATACCTTTCTCATGGTGGCGAGCAGATTCGCTGTCGCAGGTGAATTGGCCGATTTGAGAAATCTCGTTGGACGCCGTGACGGCATCGTGGGAGCTTTTAGCACGGGCGATTACACCGAGGACGTCGGACAACTTGGTGTTAGCAGAAGAAACATTGGCGAGAGTGAATGAGATCTTGAGGTAGAGCTCTTGCAGTTTCGCTCCAAAGAGGGTAGAGAAACCGCCCTCTAGTAGTCGAGACTGGTAGTGGTAGAATCTGCGGACACCTCCCATGTTGAAGAGGTCACCTTGGAACCACACGAGCGACGACTCTGTTATCATACCAACCTCGAAGCTCGCCGCGACCACTTGTTCAGTTGCGACACGAAGATAACCCTTCCATAGATCGTAAAGCATGCCGATCTCCTCGGATTGGAAAGCGGGCTTTGGGGTCAATTCTCCAATGTAGTACTTGGTCAACAGAGACGAGACCTCGGGATTGTTGGTATGGGCTAGTAGATCGAAAGACTTAGTGCAGTCTACACCGCCGTTGGATTTGATGATATTGGTACCGCCTGGGTGCATTGTACAAAAGTCGGTGCTGCGATGGTCTTAGTATGCGTGAGCCATTGGGTGAGTGGACTGTATACTTACACGTCATACACTTTACCATGCACTCCAATCCATACGCGCGAACCTTTCACATGGCCGGTGTGAACGGCGAGCTGGGAAAGCGAAATCGTAGGTTGGTTACAAGGTAGAGGTCTTGGGGTCATGAAGACGTCGAGCATAAAGCGTCGCTCGGCAAATGCAGTGTTCATTATGGTCTCCACAGTTTCCATAGTAGGTGATCGATGGTTGTAGAGCGCCTGTCGAATGCCGGACATCACTGAGTCGAACACTCCGACTGAACCGCATACGTAAAGGTAGCCACCAATGCCACCTTGCTTCTGTGACCCAAGCACGTCAGCGAAGACCCCAGGGATTGGGAGCATCGAACTTACCTTTGACATAACGAGATCGCATATAGACTGCCCTTGCTCCACGATAAGTCCATCAATGTACCTTGAGGGCATCTCCCTCTCCACAAGATCTCTAGAAACGGGATCGTACACTAGGCCATTCGTGTCGCGCGAAAATGCCGTATGCACTTCCATCAATCCCTCGTTGACATATTGACGAAGCTCGGATTCGTAACAGAACTTTTGCCGGGACTGTACACCGAGATACAAGACAGTTTTCCCCCATGCTTGACCGCAACGAGCTTGCCAAAAACTGCGGAAAGGTGCGATGCCGCTGCCACCTGCGAACAGTGCAACAGGCGAGGTATCGTCATGTGGCAGCTGGAACGAGAAAGGCCTCGACACGCCAATTAATATCTCCTCGTCGTCGAGTACATCCATCTCTTCGGCTACTGGCGGGTTTAGGAAACCACTGCTAACACCGTTTCGCACATGCTTTTCAGTGCCGGCGAACAAGGGGCAGAGGTCGTACTCCGAACGAGATATTGTCTACATACGTCAGTTCCGGATATCATTCTAGGGTAACAATACATACCAAGTCCACAGTGCTGGGGAGAAGTTCGTCAGAGTAGTTGGAGATACTGTAAGTACGTGGTACCTCGACAGAGATGAGATCTGTCAGCCAGGCCAGATTGCCGGAGAGGTCGAATGCTTGGTCCCAGATGCGTGGCGAAGTGTCTTTTACAGCTTCTTGAAGTAAGTCACCGAGTGAGGCTCGTACAGGCCATTCGTCTGTGGCTAGGACCTGCAACACGACATGTGATGATGCTCGTAGCAGGGTATGCAGCTTTGTAGCAAGCTTCTTGGTTATCGGCGCAAGATGACCCTTGCGTAGGATATCAATGACAGTGAGCTGAGGCTTCTCTGTATGCGAGATGGCGCCCATATGAGCAGCGTATCTTGTCCATATACGATCCAGACTGACAGGATCGGAAAGCATCGTATCAAGGCCTAGCGCAGCTGCAACCTTCGCACACTCCGTCCAGCTATTCATTGGCATGATAGCAAGTCGGTCGCCAGGTTGGAAGGTAATGCCGGTGTCTTGAATGTCCAGAGTGACCATTGCGATGGAGCGCTTGGGGTCCGAATCGACAAAGTTTCTGCTTAGGATTCTGCCCCGGTATCGACATTCTTCGAACGTACCACGCATTTCATGTGGTTCGATATCGCGTTGTCCACGGAAAGGCTCCAGCCGTTCTTTCATAGCCTCAGAAAACTCTGCATGCGTTTTCTCCCAGGGCCTCATAGCGTCAGCAGCTCCAGAAGCTCCATTTGTCTCAGTCCGACCAGACTTGCCGGCGCACTCGAGTAGCTTCTCGATGTCAGTCAGATCAACGTATGGATTAGAACATACTTACACCAAACACTTTGTACCGATGGGCACCCATGAAGCCTCGCTCACCAGTATATGCCTCCACCACGCCATCGAGCACGCCCATCAATCTGGGGTCTCCAGATGCTTTCACATATTCTGGTATCTGATAGTGATACTCGATGGAAGCAATGAACGCACGAAGGTTCGATGGCAGCCATGCTCGAAGATGCACACCCTCAGCACCAAGGAATGAGTCATACTTTTTGCGACCAAGGAAAGCATCCATGACCAGGTACCTGAATACATTAGTAAAGAACTTTCAGATGAATCAATTGACTTACGGAGGAAACTGTAGGCCGGAAGTAGCTGGGCATCGTTTGGATAGAGGCGCCGAGAACTTGGCCCAGCGTACCCACTCAGTAGGAGACACATAGTTCTCGCCAGACCTATCGTTGGGCGATATGGTGTTGAAGGCTGTGGGCATTCGTTCCAAGATCTCCTTCAAGCGAATGAGTTCACGAAGAAGTCCCTCGTTGTTACGGTTCATGACGTGTTCTTGACACGCCGCAATGGCATCAGGACCATGCTGAAAGCTCGCCGACGTGTCGGCACAGCCTTTAAGGAACGCATTCTCAGCACTGTCACCGAACATGCCCCATCGCAACTTGATGTTGTCGAAGCGACCGACATAGGGATATTTCGAAAGTGGGTCGACGTAGTCGACATTGAAAGACGACTGGTCGAAAAAGGTAAGGTGGGGAATGGACCGACCCATCCGAATGGAAATCTGAACGTAGGGAAGACCAATGCTGCGAGGAATGCCTTGGACCTCGTCGCCAAGATCGTCGCATATAGGAACACCCTTCAGTTTGAAAGGCTTCGCAGCTACATTGATGCCCTCATTGCCATCGTGTCGCTCTTCATACCGGTAGATAGAGCAAAGCATACCAAGGGCGACCAGAGCTGCCCATAGAGCCTTGTCTGGGATGGTGTCGGCCGTTCCTTGAATGATTGGTAATGCTGCGATTGATTCCCGCACTCGACCGCGAGCAACGCAGCCAGGCATTCTTGTGCACAGATCCATCCATACTCGTCCTGGAGAGTTGCGTAGGGCACCAGGAGCCTCGCTTGTGTCTGGAGGTTGGAAGCCATACTCGGTGCTTAAGTAGCCATCTCGCCAACCGGTTGCAGGGCCGACTTCTTCCGCTCGTAGTATGACTTGACGAGCGGGTGCACCAAGCGCAATTGCCAGTAAATCTCGTTCATCCATGTTGAGAGTGTCAAGACTCTTGACACCTTTAGCATTTTGAATTTCTTTAATCTCGGCCATGGAAGGCACGTTGGAATATATCAGCTCATTGATTGCCTTACGTTCCCTAAATTGGTCAGCAAAATCATCCTAGCTTCGATTGATGGCTTGTCAACCTTTGTCGAAGGAACTCTTCAACGTTGGCATGTTGCGGTATCTATTATCATTAGAAACGGCTATTTCCAAGTGCGTGGGATTTGACATTACTCCAAACGCAGCATGCACGTCTCCAGGCGCGGCAAATCCAGAGAATGTACACCCCCGGGGACCCATCCGACTTCCGTTCTTGCTAGCAGCAGCTGACTCCGCTGGGCAATGACCACCAGCCATACCGGAGACTGGGCATTGTTCTGACCTCAAAGACATGGGTAATTAAAAGAAATGTTGTTGGGAGACCTGCCCGTTAGTGAAGAAGGAAGGAATTGAAAAAGACTTCGTGACAAAGACAGCAAACACGAGAAAGAAAGAATTGTATTGTATTTGAGGGTACAGCTGCAGTGCCTGATCTACTGCAGAGCAGATGTAGCAAAGGAGACTCTTAGTAGCATTGACTTATGTTAGCAGTCTATAGGGCGCCATAGCTGAGCTGACGTGTTTTAGCTAAAACGAGACACTTTGCCATGGCGCAAAACAACTTGATGAAAGAGTGAATGGCTTGGCTGGAACAAAACTCGGTTTTGACGTTTGGTCGTTGTGGACTACTTGACTTTGGGCGCAGGGTGGCATACGAGCGCGACGGCGTGTATGCGTTAAGTCTTGGACCGTGAATTGCGCGACGTACGGTGTTTGTACTTGGTGCGACATGGGGATCCAAGAAAGGGGCTGGTCCCCGTTACGTAAGCGCCACCAGTCCGGAGTCGTTCAGCCATCGTACTTCTCGGAGCTGCCTGAGGCATACATATTATCAGCGAACTGTTAGGCCACGGGCAGCTCTATCAGACAGGCGCATCACTTGTTGTAGCTCTGGAAGCGAGTACCCTAATGCGCCAATATCAGCACTCCTATGAGCAACTTTACCCAGTACTAATACGCGTATCCAACCAGCTGCGGCTTTTACTTACAACTTGCGACAATAGTACAGCGGAAGAAGCTCCGAGTCTGGCCAGTGCACGCGGAGCATGCTACAGGCTCCTTTATTCCTAAACAAGCAGCTATGGCTCGGCTCCGACTTGGCCAAAGAACTCTCCGTCTTGTTGCGTGTTTGAGGTAAATTGATTCAAGAGTTACGTCAAATGGGCATTGCTACTTCTCACCGTTTTGGTCGCTAAAACAAGAGCCGCAATGTTGCGCATCAAATGCTTTTACGAGCCTGACCAATCTTCTAGCTTCGACTACTGTACCTGACAGCCTGCGTCCAGGCGCATCAACTGGCCACAACTACCCTGACGCCTATTTTTGGAAAGCTTGCAAGAAGCTCTTGTGATCAACTTCATGTACGAATCCCGGTGGTTACTTTCCAGATATACTGTCAAGAGCAAGAGCCGCAAGCTATAGCATTACAAGCTCTACGGTCTAATGCCTTAAAGATCATAGTGAAAGTCATTATTTTCAAACTACATCTCACCTCGCATAGATGAGATGTTGCATCACTACATCCATGAAACTACCCCAGAACCAGTCAATAGTAAGTAGACCATTTGGAAGACTCTGCGATTGTAGTATTGTATGTCAGAAAGACTCGCGGACCAACACTTTCTACATCCGTAGACCAAGTCTATTGAAGATTAAAGTTCTTTGGTTTCATAAACCCTAACATTTAGTACCCTACGGACGGCCCAGCTATGGCCACCTATCCAGATAGGTCCACCTCTCCAGAGCGGCAACACGTCATGACGCCCTCTCCGTCTCTCAACTACAGCGTTTTCCCAGTTGCCTTGCTGAAACCGCTCGACATCCTCTTTGCTAACAGTATGCGACTGTGTGTTTGCTGCCATCGTCCAAAATCCCACAATGTGGCCTTGGTCTATCTTGTGCGACAACCACACTTTGTTACGTCCCCCGTTTTCGCTTTGTTGCAAGAGAGACAGAAGCTCGGAGCATGTGTAATTAGTCTTTCCCTGTGGAAGCGTAGCATTTTCCAGCTGAGTACGGTGGGACGAAGCCGGGATCTTGTCGACGATGATAGGAGACCAGAAGTAGGGAAATGGCGCATAGAGAATTCTTAGAGAAACACTCAGCAGGACTGCCACGGGAAAGTCCAATCCGAGGGACACGCCGGCCCGCAGGGCTGACTTGAACGTAAGTCTAGGTGGGGTTGTGGGGGTTGAGAAGAACAACAGGTGTTTCTGGAATGCTGAATACGCGTTTCTCGCCATTTTGAAGATTTGCTTGTTGGGGAAGTTTTAGTGATGTGCTGAAGATGGCATGCCAAAGTACAGATAATGTTCACAGAGGAAAACTTTGATCTCGGGAGGCACAAGTCATGACGTCATGTCAACCTCAAAATCCGCAATGGGTGGCATAGAAACGGAAAGTAGAAAAAAGTAAAGAGAAGCCCGTGGAGGTCCGGTACAGACAGAATGGTGATGCAATAGGGTCCCTATTTCAATCACTAGCTCATATGTGATCCAACGCAGATTATGGCTGCTTCCAGACCAACCAACATTTCCAGCCGAAAGCCAATGCACCTCAGGCATATTTTATGGACGTTATTGTTCATCTGATAATTCTTAGGAATATCGGGTTTTTCATTTGAAGAATTCGTGCGCTTGAAAACTGCATTGTCCATCGTAATTTCGATTATGGGGGGCAGACCTCATATGAAGAGGATGCTGCCAATGCCTGCTGCAAACAAAGCCTTGTTGAAAGCACTTAAGAAGATACTACCAGGCGCAGCTCCCGTGTAGATGGGCATGGAGTTGCCTGTGGTCGACGGAATCGTTCCATTCCCTGCAGTGCTATTAGATATTAAGTCTGGGAAAAGGTGGCTCGTGTTAGCATCCACGACTATCCAGTTGCGAACAAGGGCAGTGCCGTTCATCACAGACTTCCACTGCTCCTTGGTACACTGGCCAGGATCCAAGACATAGCACTGTGCTCCTGGATCGACTATCGGTACATTGGTGATGTTGGACACGTCCGCTGGACCTTCTGTCGCGTAGCTGGCGTTGTTGGCAGTAGAGACATTACCAGTGCTGATGTCTCGATTGAATAGAGAGCGCATGAAGATCCTGTATGCAGTCTCCGGTTGATAAGCAGGAACTTCATGGCCAGCTTCGTAAACGCGTGTAAATGATAGGTTACCGTACTGGCGTACCTGACCACCAATATATGTATCGTTCACCACTACGGGCGCATAACCCGCATTGGCAAATGAAGTGGCATTTTCGTACGGTATGGCAAGTGAGAGAAGTTCTCCTCCATACCAATTACAAGCATAGTCGCGGTCACCGTAAACCAGCGTGACTTTGATTCCCTCCTCAAGCAAGTAGGCCAAGTCTCCCTTCCAATTTGGACGTGGATAATCACCTATACTACGGAATGATTTGGACACTGCCAAGTTTGACTGGGTCCAGTTGAGCGGTACTCCGAGGTCCTGTTGTACATGGGGTTGGTTGAGAAAGCCTTCGTACCAGGGTGGAGGGTATGATGCTGCACCAGGCGCTGATATATCGTAGTAATTCAAATCGGTATCAAAGTAGGGGTCCCGTATTTGCTCGGAACAGAAGGTCTCCGCAGCCTCACATGCCTTGTTAACAGTGGCATTAAAACCTTGATTGGTGGGATCATACGCGAGGCTGAGGTTCTGGCAGACTTCGATCTGTTCCAAGCAACCTCCTTTGCGGTACAAATTGTTGAGCACTTCCTGATAGCGGCTCTCATTCACAGCTTGGATGCCGTACGTGTTATTGTATGCCATCATTGGGTAACCTGGCCACTGTACATATCGATCAATACAGCCGTTGATAATCAAAAGTGTGTCCAGATGCAGAATATGCGTCTCCCCAGCTTCATTCCAAGTTCCGTTTTCAATCTTCTCATTTTGTTCCTGGAAGTAGGCCGCAAAAGCGGGCCCGTATCGACCTCCATAAGATTCGGTGGCAATTGATATTCTGTCATCATTGGGCTTGTGCTCAGGAAAATCTTGGAACCAGACCTGGGCAAAGTTCCAAAGCGCTCGTGCAGAATTTTCAGTGCCTCGAGTGGTGAAATTGGAGTTTTGACTGGGGTAAGTACCGACATAGAAACTATTGTTCTGAGCAGGGACCGGGGTATCCTGGAAGTCTACGACCTTCAGCTCACCTGTGTCCAGGTTGGTGGTAATGTTCACCAAGCTGTCGTAGCTAAGACCGACTTGTACGGGTTGGTCGAGATATAGCATATTCACTAGACTGGGTCAGCGCTTGTCATGGGCCGTGATTTGGGCTCAGTCTGGGCCTTCCAACCTTCGTTATTCCACGACCACTCGTTGATGTAGGTATTGTTTGAATCGGAATGAACAAAGCACGGACCATTCTCACGCAAGAGTCCAAGCATGGAGCTGGACCCAGGTCCACCTAATCAAGGTCAGTCGGTGGTGTATGTACGTGTCAACAAACTGCTTACCATTCATCCAAACTGACAAGGGCGCATTTTTGGGATCCTTTCTGGACTCAAAGAACCAGAAATATGTATTAATCTCATACGTCTGATCCGGGACACCCAAGTCGGCGAGTGCTCCGGCAGGAAGATGGACATAGCCGGAGAAGCTTCGGACGCCTTCCGTAGTCTCACACAGCTTTGTCTGAATATGATGAGAACATGGCCAACAGGCTGAGTAAGAAGTCACATGCCTCTTTGTATGAGATTCGAACACCTTCTTCAAGCTGCGATTCGACAACTTTCACGTCTCGTGGCGTGGGAGGAAACTGGGCATGGGCAAGAGCAGTGAGAAGGAGAGTTACTCCCAGCGATGGGAGACTGCATGTAACCATAACGACGGCAATGTATGGAGGGAGAAACCAAGCTCTAACAATGGCTTAGGAAACGCACTAGCCGCAGACAAGAGCGGGTTGAGGTTTCTTATAGCAGCCTCAGTGGCATGGGGATATCATCTGCCAGCCCCCGGTGAACGATAAGGAAGCTTCCTGGCCAGGTCATATTGCATGTCCCCTTGCAGTATTGACGGGTGCAGATAGTGCATTTTGTGCCTTTGTGACGTCGCAATGCCTCGTAGCGAGACAATGGGAGCGGGGGAATATCAAGGACCCGTAGAGCCGAGCCTGCCAAGGAGGCTTTTCGTCACTTGTCTACTGCGTAACGGCGGCTTGTGTGATGAGCTAAGACGGGAAGAGTGGAGTGCACAAAGTGTATGCATGCGGGGTGGTATTAGAGCCGATGTGGAAGGTGTTGAGGTCTGATGCCGGCGATATGACGGGGCGGATGCCGAGCCTGGTGGGGGGAGGGAGGAGAGAGGAGGTGAGGGTAAGGGCGACAGCACGAGAGACGGAGGAAGATATATACACGTGTGCCTGGCACGTTTTCCAAGTGACACAACACGGGGTATGTGTCAATGTAGATAGTAGATATGTAGTATGGAGGTGATGTGGTTGCCGTATGGACGAAGGGCCGTGATGCTGCAACCACCAGATTCGGTTTAGCGCCGCACCCCACGCGGCTGTCTGCATCTGCATTTGCCATGCACGCCTCCAAGTACTCCGTCTTGCCACTCGCCCGTCAACCAACCTCCAACCATGTCCAAGAAGGTGGGTTCCCAGCAAATCATGAGGGCAACCTCGTGTTGGCAGTCAGCATGTGGCTAAGCAACGGACAGGGTAGCGACACACCATCGTCAATCCGCATCCGCGAGAACCAGAGGCGTTCGCGCAACCAGCGCAAGGAGCTCATCCAGGACTTGCGCCGCCGAGTGCAAGAATATGAAATCAAGGGCGTCGCCGCCACGCAGGAGATGCAGCGCGCTGCACGCAAGGTCGCCGAGGAGAACTCACTGTTAAGAAGTCTACTCGCCAGCCGTGGTGTAACGCACAATGAGGTAGAAGCATATCTGCGCTCCTTCAAGACCAACACCACTCCCACCACTCCCACCACTATTACTCCTGTTACTCCTATCACCACTGCTCCCAGCTATGCACCCCATGTGCTGCCTGTAACATCAGGGCTTCCAAGGACTCCAATATCACATCAACCCGTGGTTCCAAAGACGATGCCCCTGTGCATGCAGCCCCCTACGCAGTCTCCTGCGCAAACCTCGATTAGGCCACTAGCGCCGTCGACAGCTCAGCCTCAACCACAACCACGCCCAGAGTCTCAATCCACCCAGCGACCGGTCCCTGCCCCTATCAATGCATCGCCGGCTTCAACCTGTTGTAAGCCGGTAGACAGCACTAGTCATGACAATGCCCCGGCTACATTTTCCATACCACAAGAAGATGCAGAATGTCCTAATACCGCTAGCTGTTTCTGCGCCCCGACTCCTATGCCTAAGGAGACGCCAATCGATACCGGATTGCTGATATCATGCGAGACGGCTGCTACCATTATTGCTGAGATGCGCGGTGATGGAGATCGCAGTCGAATCAGAGCTAGTCTGGGCTGCGTTGGGGATGAGGAGTGTAATGTCAAGAATACTCGTGTGCTAGAACTAATGGATGAACGGTAACGATTTGTTGTACCTCGACTCGAGAATTGGGCGAAATACACTCATCAGATTAGGCAATAGCGCCTGTGCCAAATTTCCGGCCTTACGTTGGAGCCCTCGTGGCGACGTACGCAGCTCAGCAACTGCGAGCTTGGCGACGCTTCACCCTGCGCAGCTGCAACATGAGTGCGCTGGCAATTATGTAAGAAAGCCCAGCAAAGATTTGAGCATATACATATTCGCGCGAAGAGTTGGGGCGCCTAAGCTTGAGCGCAATGCCCTCGGATACTGTAAGGCGTCATGTACTGAAGCTTCACAAAGGCTGGTTAGATGCACATACCTATGGAGGGGATAATGACAGCTGCCCAAGACAGAGATAATAGAGACTGCAAGTCTTTGATCCCTGCGACTTCGACGCACAATGGACCAATCGTCTACACCTAGTGTCACTATGGTGCTACTTCAAGACTGTCATGGCACGAGAGACCAACTTACCATCCAGAAAACGCCTACTACAGCCCCGCACAGTATGACGAAGAAAACAGTTAGCCCATATGACGTGGAAGGCAGCCAAAAGGCGAAACATGCCACTCCACACAAGAGTGTCAGCGCTCCAGCCGTGTCTATTCGACTCCATCGATCACTAAGAATGCCTATGATTGGCCGTCCGATGGCAGTGCCCATGTTAAGCAAGCCAATCATGTCAGTAGCTTGGGATCGCGACAGCCCAATGGACAGCGCAAAGTCAGATAGAGAGAAAAGTAGGACAATATAACCCAGCATACTGATGAAGGCCCAAGCGAGCAGCAAGAGCACGTCAACACGCCTCAACAACTTTGTATCAAAGCCTAATTGAGATGGCCGAATGGCCTTGTTCCGATCGCGGATGAAGATGGTTGCAATGGTGTTTGCCGTGAATGTTAGTATGCCTGTGATGCGTAGTGCCCAGGCAATGCCAAATCGCTGGATAATAGCTTCCGATTCCCATGCGAATGCCGCCCCGCCGACGCCAGACCCTGCCGCGCTGATGCCGTTTGCGAGACTCCGTCTTTTGTCAAACCATTGGGAGAGAACTGGTAGGCAGGGGATGTAAAGGAAGCCAATTCCGCAACCGACCAGGACGCCTTGAGAGATGTGTAGCTGCCAAATGCGATGCGAGAAGGAAGCCGAGATGAAGCCTGCAAGCTGAAATAGCAGACCGCAGCACATGATGACATGGATCCCGAACTTGCGGCACAAGACTGTCACAGCGGGTGCAACGACCATGGCTATGGCAAAGTTAAACCCCCCAATAAAGGCATAGTCCCAGGTTGTTGCTTCAGGGAACAGGTCATCTGCAAGGTAGTGAGACAAGTAGATACCATAGGCCTGGAAATTTGTATCAGCTACTTGTATCTCTTTGGACGACAGCATGAGGACTTTGGCACTCGCTTTATACTCACCGAGACGGCACCCCAAGTAAAGCAATTGATTGTGAAACAAGCAGCAATACAGACCCAGCCATAGCCACCGTCTGGCGGCACAAGGCCTTCACTTTGCACGTTCTCAATACCTACGTCATCGGCACGAGCTGACGACAGCCTGGGGCTCTGATGCCTTGAGGACGTACATTCAACCCCCATGGGTGGAAGAGCTGATGATTTTGACGTTTTCCTCTCTCGTTTGTCTTGATGCTGTTATCAAGAGGAAAAGATTGGGCAAGAGCCGTGCTTGGGTGGAGGTTGTGGTTGGCCTAGATAGTGTGTCGTCCTTAGTCAGCCTCGCCGTCGCATTCGACCACTCCACGTCCTATGACACATTCAGTAAGCTTACAGCAGGATGGTAATTAAATTATTCCGACGGGTAAAATTGACCAAATACGAGAAGAGTTGACATGGTCAACAAGATCGGTGTATGAATCAGCGTCATGTGTCGATCGCTGTAGAGATCAAGGTCTAGGACCGCTGTATACTTACCTATGCACCTCTTGCATGAACTGAACGGGCCGATACTCGATTTCAGACAGTATGGCTTGCCTTTCAGTATCCTCACAGGAAAATTGTCCATATGACGATGCTGTGTATTCGACGAGACGCGGAAGCTATACGGGATGCGGATGATGGCGCTAAGCCCATTGAGGGAATTCCGAAATCGAGGACCCCGCCAAATAAGTTATTTGTAGTGAGAAGATGGTGGGCCCCGCCATGTTGACAATTCAACGTCTGGCACAAACAAACTATAAAGACTTTTCTCTCTCTTTTTCCTATCAATTCGGGACCGGAACGATAGCTCAAGTGCATTACCGTCATGGAGTGTGACACATTCCCCGTCACGCAATACAGCACCAGCGACGCCACGTCGTTTGCCCACACATCGGCGCGCTCGCGGTGGCCCATCATCATAACACAAGGCATTGATGACGTTCATCGCTCGTTGCACAGCACCAAGGAAGAGGAGGCCATCAGCCAAGGCAAACATATCGTTGCCGAACTTGCCAAACTCAAGTACGAACTACAACACGACCGCGAGCTGACACCCATCCCCAATGATGGCGAACCCGACGTCAAGGCGTACAATGAGGAATTAGCCGCCAGAGGCAATCCCAAATGGCACAATGTGCCCTGGCTTTACGCCGAGTGCTATTTGTACCGGTAGGTACCGTCTCTGTCTGTCGTGGTCGAGGCTAACCGCCATAGCAAGACGCATATCGAGCATCTTCAAACAAAGTGACAAATGGCGCTCATATGATATCTTCGCTCGCCAGAAAATGGCTACTTTCAAGTCCTCTCGCCCCGCCGTTCTCGAACTTGCTGCGCGCTACAAGGACATTGTCACGGAGCTGGAGCAGAAAAAGACTCTTAGCGGCGCAGACACCCAAGAGCAGCTTGAGGCTGCTGAAAAGCTTCTCTTCACTGAAATGTGCGAGATTTGTCTTTGGGGAAATGCAACGGATCTTTCGCTCTTAACGAATCTTTCTTATGAAGATATTCAAAAGCTGCAAGGCTCCGAGGCGCGCAAGAACTCAGAGAAGAACATCCTGGTCAACGACCTGGATAAGGCCTTCAAGGTGCTGTCTACCGCACAAAAGGGCGGCAAGAAAGAGAGGCGCGTTGACATTGTCCTCGACAATGCCGGCTTTGAGCTTTTTGTCGACTTGATACTGGCTGGCTATCTCATCGCCTCTGGCCTTGCCACGAATGTCGTTTTCCATCCCAAATCTATCCCCTGGTTCGTGTCAGATGTATTGCCGGCCGACTTCGGCGCCCTTCTGTCCGCACTGGCCGACCCACATAGCTTCTATGAAGCACTATCCGACGATGAGAAGCACAACGGAAAGGAGGTTGTACCTCTTTCGGAAACCGAGTGCTCCAACCTGAAGTTTTTGTTCCAGCACTGGAGTACCATGCACGCCGAGGGCCAGTTGATGTTGCGGCCCAACGACTTCTGGACTGCGGCTGGAAGCTACTGGCGGCTTCCCAAGGTAGAACCGGAGCTTTATCAAGACCTTAAGGAGAGCGAGTTGGTCATCTTCAAAGGCGATTTGAACTACCGGAAGCTAACTGCTGATGTGAGTGTGGTCAGCACTTTATGTATTGACTCTGCTAAACTTTTTTGATAGGCTGCCTGGCCCGCTACAACACCTTTCACCGAGGCCATTGGTCCCATGGGCCCCGGCTCAGGGCTCCGTGTACTTGCGCTCCGTACCTGCAAAGCCGACGTGGTGGTTGGATTGCAAGAATGTGAAGACGAGCGACTCCGAGCTATGGAGGGTGGTGGAGGAGATAGCGGAGCACGAAAGTGGGCATGGAGTGGCAAGTGGGCTGTCGTACAGTTCTCAGATGGTAAACTATAATAGAGAGCAGCAACCTAGAGTGCCTAGAATACGCAAGCATGACTTGGGATAAATGGTAGACAACGGTTGGATAGAGGGAAATGGTCAGAGGTACATCACGAAGCAATTCCGTTCCTTCCCAAAATGGCACTTGGCAACACGAGTATTATAGGCAGGGGGTATACACTGATGATATTGATGTCTAGTGCGTTCCTCGCCGGATATCCGATGCAATCCGCTGAATCTCTTCCACTGCCGGCGGCTGCTTGGCCCCTCGTAGCAGCGACATCTTGGAAAGGCTCTCCATTTCCCGCATTTTCCGAGCCATGGTACCCTCTTTGGATGCTCTTTGATTTCGACTACTTTTTGAGGGAGCCTGCAGATACCTATGCGTGAGGCCATCGATGGAGTCCTGCGTCGGTCTCGATCTGTGCCTGTGAAACATGTCTACCCTGCCGGAATTCTGCGGCGACGACTCAGTCATGGGGCGCGGATAGCCCAGGGCCTGAAGATCTAACCCTGAAATTAGCAAAAGATCGAAAAAAAAGACGACAAAAACGAGTCGTGTTCTAAAACATACCAAGCACCAATTTACCCGCATCCGGTTCACTGCCCAACCACTTTCCCATTGTGCGCTTGGCCCAGAGCTTACGCACGCCTTCGAGCTCGAGGTGGTACTCGAGGTTGTCCCAGACGGGGATGCTGCTGCAGATTGCAATCATCTCGAGCGTCTGGGGGTGTACTTCGGCCGTCGCACCCGGTTTTACGAGGACGACTTCGAGCGTACTGAGCGGCTCCCTCGGCGGCGGAGATTGGAGCGCGTTATCGCCTCGGCACACGAATTCCAGCGAGTCATGGCGCTTCAGCCCGCGAATGCTCAGCTTGCGCCGCAGCGCTTTTGGTGCGACTGGACTTGATGACCGCGGCCGTGCTGCTTGCAGAACCGTTGGTAGACCGGTAATCAGCGTTGCGATGCTGCGCAGAGATTCCACGACAACGCATCCGTCCTCGTGGTTGTCCTTTTTCCGCTTTACCGCCCCGAGCAACGGTCCCGTTTCTATGCCGGAGACGGGCAGCTGGAAGCGCAGGTTGCACGCGTTTGTGAGTACGGACTGGACCATTTGAGGTGGTTTGCCATTTGTCCAACAGTCCCAGTGTTTGCCGCCCGCGTCCTTTTCGTGTGAATGTGAAGCGCTGCGAGCATCGCACAAGTCGATGAGAAACAGGCTGTCGCGGTAAAGAATGTTTAGTCCCATTGCGCGCATTTGCTGGCACACGCGGAGAGCAGGGTGCATCATGACGGATCGGATATCCACAGCATTGGGACCATGGCGATGTCGGTAGCGCTGCGGTGTAACCCGCGATTGATATGGTGTGATTGATACAGCACGTTCTTCGGCAAAAACGTAAGCCAGTATATGCCCCAGTAGGCCTTGTGGAAGCTGGAGTAGCGAGCGCCTTGTCACGTTTGTGTGGCTAGGAGCTTTCACTGAGCGTGTCCGCTCAATCGGTGGCTGTGTTGTGCTGTTTTTACGCGTAAGAGAAGGAGTACGCTTGGTGACGTTGAGAGGTGCTGGGACAGGATTCGAAGTCATCATCGTCCTCTGAGGTCCGCGGACCGGTGATTCATCGAGCATAATTAGGCATTCTAGTGATCGTCGGTCGATGGAGTCCTCTGAGGCTCGAATCGGGGCGAGCCGCTCTTCCAAGACATGTCGTTGGCGCGAACTGTGGGATGGCTTTGCGTAAACGGGTCGGTTCTGCGTTTCGGTATCTTTTGGGAGAGGCAACGGCTTATTCTGGCCTGGAAATAGGTCGTGCATGTATTTTCTTGACGTGGCGTGTGCCTTAGCGGTAGCGGCGTAGTCGTTAAGGTTGACGCGGACTGAAGAATCGGGTAACCGAGGAGCGAGCACATATGGAGAAGCTGTGTGGGCCATGGTGGGCAATCTGGTAGAAGAAAGTATCGAAAGAAACGGAAAACCGGAACGAAGCAGACACAACGGATAAGAAGAAGAAGAAAACGAAGGATGCTCGCTGTGATGGGAGTAACTTGAATCAGCAGAGCGTAGTAATATGTGGGCGAAGCCTGCGCCACTGCATGCATATAGAAGGATTGACAGACTCAGAGTCCAGCTCTTATCGACAAAAGAGGGCCACTATTGCCAAATTGGCTTGATATATTGAGCTTCATCCTCATTCCTTACTAGTAGGCGACAAGCAGGTAGCATGCCACTTTCTCCTTGCCATGTGCGAACCCATGGCTAGCAGGTTCGACGCTTGTCGCGAAAATGGACCGGGTGTAGGCCTGATGTACCATGTAATCCAGTTTTTCGAGGCGAAACATGCATACTAAAGCGTTTTGCCTTGCTCTGATTTGCTGCGTGCTCATCCGGCCCCATAAACATTTTTTGCCTGGCACCGTGGCGGGTACTTGTCGATTAGGTAAAGTAGTGTATGCTGTCAAAGCGCCATGGGGATGGATTTCCGCGTGGGAGAAGAGTGACATGGCTGGTATTATTGGCTGTGCGGCTCATGTGCAGGCATCAGGCGCTGTACACTACTTTCCCTGGTCCAGCGTAGATGAGGGTGGATGATATTTGCAGTCGGTATAGCCCCACTCTGTGGCTGCAATCATAGGTCATTACTCGTAAGTGAGGAGACTGTAAAGGAGCGGGACGGGTCTGTGGCCCTCATCCGAGACTCGTAGTGTTCGAGCAGCATGGCACAATGACCATCTGAAACGTGACGGGGCAAATCTGGTGGAACGGCCTCTCGCTTGAGAAACCGTCACGGCCAGTGGGAACTGTGGGCGAACGCGACCGTGAGCGAGCAGCTGTTGTCACCTTCACCGGATGGCATAATGAAGCTGGGTTAGAGAATGCAGTGCGCACATTTGGCGTTTCACGCCCTAGAGGTCAAGGCATCCCATGAACACGGGCTGGCTGGATGGATGGATGTCGCTGCCAAGAGGTAACCGAGGCTGAAGGGATTAGTAAAACACACACAAAAAGAGATTGAGGCTGAGAAAAAAATCTGTAGTTGGAAAAGGTCAAAGGTGAGGCGCGTAGGCAAGTCCATGGTGCACCGTCTGGACCGTGATGGTGGACGAGATAACGGCGAGGCTGGGATTGCCCACTAGCCACCGTTGTAACAACGCCTGAAGGGGCCTGTTCTCCTCCTAGTTCAACAGTCGACAAATGGCGACTAGGAAATTGCGTGGCGTTCAGGGGCGTTTTGCAACACTAATCACGTTGTTGGATTCTAAGATTATACCAACGTATTTGACGAGCAGCTTCATCCTGGCACCGGAGGAGTTGGACCATTGTAGTATGTGTACGCAGGTAATGCAACCGGGGGAAGTGTGTTAGTATCAATTCATGAAGCCCTTAGCTAACCGTTAGGCCCGAACTCCAATCTCCACAGCACCCTCGCGACGTTCAGCGGATACGTGTGCCAAGTCAACGGTTGTTTGCGACCCCTTCCGGTAATCCAGTCCTGCCCCACGTTCTGCGATACCGGAAACTTGCAAGGCCGTTGCCGATCCTTCTCATCAGTTGTCGCCCGCCGCCACGCTTGCCTACTCCAGTCGTCACATCTCATCATTCCATATCCAATGTATCCTACGCATCAACGGCTTCACCTCCCGAAACACCTGACCCAGAGACCGTACGTGGCGTGCCTTCTCCCCTCTCTCTCTATTGCTGGACGGGCATAAAACAACGCCTCCGTCTCAAACAGAGAGTCGTACCCGGACTGCCATATGTCGGCTACTATAGCCAGTATACCGTGGTTGGCACAGTGCTACCGTGCCCATCACCATCGAAGAAACATCGAATACGGTGTTCGCTTCGGCTTCTATCCGACCTGTGTCCAACGTTGCACTTGCATTGATATCGGACATGAATACGGTGTCTGTGTGGTCGGAGAGAAGCTTGCAAATGAGTCGGCCCAAGCTTCAATAACTCGAATTCCATCTTGGCTATGGCATGACTTGACTCGTCTTCGCTTGTCTTGGGGAACAACCTGTGCACGTCCTTTTTCTACACAATACCTGTCCCTTAAGTTTCTACGATATAGCTCCGTTCAAACACTTGAGCCGTCATGAAACTTTGCCTTCCCGTACTCGAAACCCTAGCAATTGTGCCCAACCTGCACTCCTTCCCACTTCACCCTACTCGCCTGAGTGTGATTCGCTGCTTTTTCCTGTGTGATTCAAGGTTACTCCTGGCTATACACAAATTCTTACTGCCAACTACAACCAAATGCGCATCCATGTAATGGCCTCATTCTGCATTGAAAGGGCACCAAGTCGCACCGTTTGCATAAAAAAATCGAATGGCGGGAGTGATTTCGGCAGAGGTGCCGCATTCTCGAAGACAAATATACGAACCCGTACAACGGCTCGGCGCAGACAGCACAGGACCACCTTCTGACCATGCAAAGGGGAATATCGCGGGTGTGAGTATATCCCCCGGATTATAGGATTCGATTCGATTCGATTCGATATTGGATCACTTGACCCAAGCTTAGTAGCGGCGAATCGTACCGGATACGAAGTTCTTCAACGAATCTGTATCTTCACAAAAGTATGCCCACCCCTATCTTTTATGCAAGGCCTCAGTCCTTCTTGTTCCGATCATCAGCTGTCTCGCCCTCAATGTACACGACATCTTCCTCACTGCTCGCTATGATTTTTGACCTTTGGTCCAACTACGTTTATGGTCAGTTTCCAGCCATTACACTTCACAACATCATACGCACCCATTGCACAGCTGCTGTCGAACCAAAGAAAGCAAACACCACGACAATCATTGTGATGTAGCCCTTCTTCCAGTACGGTGCATCTGTTGCAGGATAAAAGGCAATGCCCCAAAAGGTGTATAGTATGGATTGCACCATACTCATGATGTAAAGTATGACTGATCTCGAGGCGTCGTCGCCGTTACGCTGGCAGATGACACTCGCCCATCCATACATGACTGGATTCACGATGTATGAAGTGCCAGCCAGGTAGAACGCAAACAACACACCAGCGGTAGAAAGATTAGGAATCAGCAGGAGGATTGCCACAAGAAGCTGCAAAACTCCCGCGAGAATGACCATGGTTATACGGCGGTTGGTCATATCTATGATGTAGCCAGCTCCAATGTTTGAAACTATAGATACTGCTTGGACGCCCAGAGGATAAGTAGTCGTCGCATACGAGGGAAACTGCTCGATGTTGGCTTTCATCCAGAGTAAGAACAGACCCTGAAGAACAATGGCTTCGAGTGCGCATCCTATCATGGAGTAGAGGGATAGTATGTAAATGTCTGGTTTCGCAAGAAGCCGCTTGGCCAATGATTTGAGGCTGATGTCGTGACCCCAATCTTTCTTGGGCGGCAGACGATCCAGTGCCAGTTGTATTTCCTCTTTGCTGAGATATGGAGTGTTGGGGGACTCAGGCAGGTTGGGAAAAAACAACAGACCAAAGATACCAAAGGGGATTCCCATAGCACCATCTTCAGAGTGTTAGTATCGACATTAGCTATGTGAAAGAACATACGCACTGATGATGAAGACCCACTGCCACCCTGCAAGAGAGGTTTGTCCATGTAGACTTTGATTCATTGCCGTCATCATGACACCGGCAAACATGCTGCCTATCTGTCCAATAGCCGTGAAGATGGCGGTTCTTTTAGCAATCTCCAATGGCTTATACCAGGATCCAAGGATATAAATGGTACCACTGTAGAGACTTGCTTCGAAGAACCCTTGCAAGAAGCGAATGACACAAAGTTGAGCGTATGTCTTGCATGCCGCTGAACACATGGTCAAGCCAGACCATACTATCAGGGTAAAGGGTAGCCAAAAGCGAGGCGCAACCTTTTGGATGATGAGGGCGTGTGGTATCTGACCAGTACAGCTACCAGCCGTGAACATGGACAGTAGAATACTGTACTGGTTGCCTTCCAGTCTGAGTGACTCTTTCAGTCCGGAGACATAAGCATTAGAAAACGCAGATCGATCCAAATAATTGAAAAAATACGCCGCACAACAATACACCTAGTTGCCAGATATTAGCTCTCCCAACTCAGTTAAATAAAAAAAAACTCCCGAGTATCAAACAAATTAATCTAACCAAAATGAAGCAATCTGTCGCGTTCGTTAGATCCTGCAAGAGTAAAAGAAAAAGATACCCCTCAAAAAGGAGTAAACGAACAGCGGTTATGTACATACCAAGCTTGCGAACCAATCGTTTCTCCAATTTCAACATCGTAGTAGTGTCCAGCCGTGCGTAACCAACCCGCCTGTAGTAATGACGAAAAAGAAACATATATGTCCCGCTCAACCCAACTTTTTTTTTCTGCAGGAGAAAAAAAACTACTCCCCCCCCCACCAAACCAACCCTTGGCAAATGTCTGCGTTGTTTCTTCACTTATCATAACCAAGCATTACAATGGTACCTTGATGGTCCGCACCGGACCAATCACACCTCGCCTTTTGATAAGCGGGCAAGTCTGGGGGGTGGGGGAGGGGGGGGGCGAACAGGTATTCGGCCCGCTGTTTGGGCCAAAAAAGAACATTCGGAATCACTGGTGTCGAACGCTCACATGAGTATTTGAGTGCCTTGTTTGATACACGGAATGAGTGTTATTTGGAATGTAAAGCATGGAAAATATAGAGGGATTACTACGGCATAAAAGGCGCGGAGATATTTACGTCGCAGCTAGGTATGTGTATGAAAGTATGTACGTAAGTAGTACGCATGTCAGCACTTTACAGTTAAGAGAGACGGGCTGGAAGGCGTCTGACGGCTAGTAAGTATATTCGGCAATTAGAGTAATATATATCTTGACCTTCAACTACCTACTACAACGTAATCTTCCCACTTCTCAGCACCTCCAAATCTTGCAGGGTAAATCTCACATATCTATCTTCACCAGGCTTCATCCACATGACGATATCATTTTCACCCCCAACAACCTTAGTTCCGTACTTGTCGATTTCAATGCCCTCATTCCTCAACGGCGCCTTGTTCTGCTTCTGATTATCTGTATTACTTGCTTCTTTGACCAGCCGCAGGAACACGGGTACTGCATATCTTGGCAACTTGCCGCGCGCATATTCCAGCAGGGCCTTCCAGTCGAATGCCTCGGGGCTGGTGCCAGGGGATAAGCGGAGAGCAACACAGCCAGCACGACCGTCGTGCCTGGGAACCAGTGTACCGTATACGATAGCTTCATCAACGCCAGGGAACTTTCCTAGCACTTCGGCAACTTCGGCCGTTGATACGTTTTCGCTCTTCCAGCGGAATGTGTCACCCAGTCTGTCCATGAAGAACCATCTACCATCGTCATCTCTTCTTAGCGCATCGCCAGATCGATAGTACAGGTCTCCTTTCTTGAAAACGTCTCTTTCAAACTTCTTCGCCGTGGCTTTGGGGTTGTTGTGGTATCCAGCAAACGTGTCCTCACTGGGTACGGCAACTAGAATTTCGCCACCTTCATTGTACGAATTACGCTTGACAAAGCCAGTCTTGGGGTCGCGTAGCAGATCTCCAGTCTCTGGGTCAACAGCTACAGGTATGTATATGTTGTGCAGTGCTGCTCTGACAAGAGCACCGTGCTGAGCAAGAGCGTTGTCCGTAAAAGGGCCCTTGTTGTGGACAACCAGACCCAGCACGCCTTCGGTCGAGTTGAAGAATTCCATGACCTCTGGGACGTTGAAGCGCTCTTTAAACCGACGCCAAACATCTGGGCGCATGCCGTTGCCATACATGCCGCGTAGTCGATGATCCCTCTCTTTCGGGTGTGGTGGCGCCATGAGTAAATACCGCGCTGTTTCACCAACGTAGACAAACATTGTCGCCTGCGAGTCGTGGATATCGTCCCAGAATGTGCGGACGGAGAATTTGCGTCCTATCGCCACGCTCAAGCCACTCGTCATTGCACTCAGAGTAAGCATTCCTCCTGTTCCATGGAATAGAGGCATGCAGCAGTACCACCGGTCGCCGTCTGGGCCAGCCCTCTGGCCGAAGTTGAGATTGTCTGGATCTCCCCTCTCGTGAAACCGGCTGACCATGTACTTGCCTGCTTTTGGTAGTCCGGTTGTTCCAGACGTATAGAGCAAACACGTGGGATCCCTTCCGCGTACGTTTTCCCTGTATTCATCGCCTGGTACCACAGTGCTTCCCCGATAAACTTCTGCCAGCATATTCTCGTCCACCTTGAACGCACGGACGCCCATGTCTTCCACTGTGGCTCTGGCATCTTCGAATCTCTCCCAACAACCTTGGTCTTCATCAACAAGCACAAGCTTTACTCCGGCGATTTTCAAGCAGTGCACTAGTCCCTCGTCTTTCAGGTTGTAGTTCAAATGGGCTGGAGCACAACCGATGCAGAAGAGACCGAGCCAGATGACCATGAAATCGGCACTATTCATGAGGTAGGTGGCAACCATGTCGCCAGGTTTCACGCCCTGTGCAAGGAAGAAGTTCGCCCACTGCACGGCGCGGTCGTGGACTTGTCGCCATGTGTAGGTTTTGGCGCGGGACCAGACGCACAAGTTGTCGCCGTACCTTTCTACTTGCGGGGGGAAATTGTACCACGGGGATTGGCGGTTTGTTTTCACTGTGCAGGCTTAGCATAGGCAGAGAGTGATTGTAGACGTTTCTGTCGCGAGCCGATGAAGGGGACATGTGGGAGATGCATACCAAGCTGCTCATAGTACTTTGTCGAGCTTCTCTTAAACTTCAGCGTCTTGATGTCCTGTGCAACGTGATACTTTGCATTGACGTATGCAGCAAGAGCCGAAGCAGCAGCCAGGGCTGCAGCAGTGGTTGTAGGGTCCATGTTCCTGACCGCCGCTTTATTGCACAATGGGGCGTGCTTGTTGTTTAAGTAGTAGGCGGACTGACCGAAGCATTGTCCGAAAATGAAGGCGATAGCGGTCCTTCTAGGGAGCCAGCACGCCGAACCGAGCTCCTGGCCTCCATCCCTGGCGACTTGGACAAAACAGAAGCAGAAGCCGAGGTCCACTTGGGTGCTAGACTTCGTATGTGCGGGGGAGCTTGCACCGTTACGTGTAGATCTGTTCCCTAAGCCAACGAATGGGGTTGGTGCGGGTAACGGGTCGGCGGCAGGCGTACCGAGCGTCGGACTAATAATCATGGCGTCCAGACGTGCATGCTATTTGTTAACTATTAACTATTAACACCAGACCAACACGTCTGGTATTCACTCTAGGCTTGTGTAGCTACAGACCTGCCATGGTACTGGACATGACCTCGATCAAGGAAACCACATGGCGTTGAACAGAAAAAGAAAAATATGCTATTGTATTTATACATGAATCAACACCCACAGCCAAACATGACATCTACTCGACTGTCTTCTGCTTCTTCTTGCCAATGTTTTCGGTGCCAGGCGGTACCTCCAGCCCTCCAAACACCAATCCGCACACGGCCACCATACCCGCAGCTCCGGTCGCGTATGCTGTTTCTCGGCCTGCCCACCAGTATAGCGTGCAGAAGACCAAGGGTCCTAGAGAACGTCCGATTTGGCCTGAGAAAGAGGGAGTTAGCGATTGCGATTTCACAGCAGCATCTTTTGAGCTTACCGAAACTTCGATGATTTCCAAGTTTGTTTCCACGTTCGCCCGCGCCAGCTTCGAAAGATGATAAACTATTCAAGCCAGTCACAACCGTCGCGCTCGTCACGGCCAAAAGGGCAGCTGCCCCATAGAGTGCGCCCTGCGTCTGCACCCTGCCCAACATAACAAAGGCGATGGTGCAGCTGACGACTCCCATCTGGACCACCTTGAGTGGGTGCATGCGGCGCACCACTGACCCCTGGAGTAGTGATGCAACCAATCCAATGAACCCGAGTAGCCGTCCCGAATCCTTTGCTTGGTAGGCAAACAGGTCATAGGTCATAAAAGGAAGTGAGAACTCCATGCCGCTGAAGAACAGGATAAAGGTAAAATGAGTGGCGTTGAGAAGAAAGTGTGAGTTCGTCCGGATACGAGGCTTCGGCTTGTCCACGTCCTTGACTTTTCCATTTGCCATGCCATTCTCGCTCTTGCTTGCCGAAGGAAGCGTCTCTGGAAGGCTGACGTATAGGTAAATTGTCTCCGAGACGATGAGAAACAGGGAGAAGCCCGCTGCCATGGCAAAGGGGTTCTTGTCCATGATCTGCAGCGTTGAGAGATATGCACCCAGAGCTGGTCCAAATGTAAAAGCGATGCTGAAGCAGACACCCACGAGCGCCATTGTTGACCCTCTCTGGCTGTCATCGCTGATATCTGTAGCAATCGCCATGGCAAGCTGCACATTGCCCTCGCTCAGTCCACCCACGATCCTGCTCGCAAGGAAAGTCCGGAAGTCTGTGGCTGCAACCCATAGTGCTACGCTAAAGATGTTGCCAATCATGGACCACAGCAGTGCAGTACGTCTTCCATATTTGTCTGAGAGCGTGCCAATAAAGGGCGATGCGATCGCCTGGCAAAGGGAAAAGAGCGAGCCGAGTGCGCCGCCGAGGAGGACAATGTCGTAGCGAGAGTTGATGGGCTTCGCGAATGAGTTCTTGTATGCGTTGAGACCGGCGAGGATTTTGGAGAGGATCGTATTTGGGTCGCCGGTTTCGTGGTTACGGTAGAATTCGATTAGTTTGGGGAAAAGCGGGAGGATGAATGTAAATGATATCTAAAGCCCAAGGCTGTCAGTGCATGCGCTCAGTTAGTTGCGACCAGGGATGACGTACCAAGTCAAGTAGGAGGGAAATGAATAATACTTTCAACACCCTCTTCCGCAGTGTCGCGGGCACGGGCGCTGTCTCTGAGCCCATGATGATGTTTTGCTTGGGATGTCTGGTTGTACAAGTTAATGAGGGAGCAAAGGGTGATGTGGACACAGGTACTACTGGGCGGCGGCCCGTCTAATTAAAGAAAACGTAGCGAATGTTGGACGAAGGGGGGAGCAATTAAGAACAGCTCGGACTACCAAGCCAGCATCTAGGCGATTGTGTATTACTGTACTGGACCAAGAATAGGGTCGGCTGTGGTTGTCGGCTTATTGGTGGCGGGAGCGCGTTGAGTTTGTCAGTCTTGTCATCACAAAGTATCGCCGTACGCTAGACGAGGGCGAGCCATGAGGATGAAACAACATGGGAAGTCCCAGACGCCGCTAAGTCGAGCTTACTGCCTGTACATGGGAACTACATGCTCGAGAGTCATTGCACAGACCCAGACACGCACACAGACACCGGCGGCGCGCGATAGGAAAATAAAAAGGACAGGTTGGCAACCCTTTCGGTGGAGACATGGATGGAGTGACTTGAGCAAGGCGGGCCCCCCTTGGATGATCATCATGCAATGCTCGAGCGAATGAGCCGAGGCTTCCAAGCGCGCCGCCCTGCCGATTGTCCACCTTCACTACCACGCGACCAAGCCGATGGCGTCGTCGGGAACGGGCGTCTTTCCGATATCCCAGATAACATACATGCTGATACATACACATCTCGCCTATCGACCATAGCACTCTACCTTTTTCTAGACCCATGATGAGTGGCCCAGGGGCTGATCGGCAAAAAGCAATGGCAGCTGTACGCGCCATGTTCGACAAGTACAAACTGCTTGCGGCAAAGCGGCCAAAAGATCATATTGTGAGATGCGCGAGTTGTCGTTCAGATGGTTGCTTGGACTAACGATCCCGAGGACTTTGACAACCAAGTCATGAATAGCCTGGAGCTCGTGGATGCCACGCCCGACGGAACAGTGAGGTATGAAATGTTCATGGCACCCAACTTCTCCAACCTGAACAGTACGTCTTTTGTCATAGCCAACGGCCCAAACTGAGTGGTGAATTAGATGTCATGCACGGTGGAGCTGCAGGCGTCATATTCGACATGTCCACCACGACAGCACTATGCCCTCTGGCGCGGCCCGGCTTCTGGGAATTCATGGGCGGCGTGACACGCTCGCTCAACATTTCTTACCTCAAAGCCGTGCCGATTGGAGTAACGGTCAGGCTCAACAGTAAAGTGGTGAGTATAGGCAAGCAAATGGCAATGATCAGAGGCGACATGACCAGTCTGGACGGGAAGACGATGTACTGCACAGTCGAGCATCATAAGGTGAATGTGCCAGTACAGCCCGAACACCGTCTTGTCCGAACAGCGTGGGACGATGAGTTTGATAGAGAATGGGCAGCACACGTGAAAAAGGCAGCCAAAGGTAAGTTATAAGGTGAATGGGCCGACACGCAGACGCAAAGTGTAGTGATTGCATACGCCTCTATAATGTACATTTAGACCGCAGGGGTAGGCTGCTAATCTGCCTACTTCCTCTTGTTGAATTTCTTGGATTCTGCAAAGGGTCAGCAACAATATTAGCAAGACATATCAGTGGGTACATACCGGCAGCAGTCCTCTTCTTCTTGGGCGCGCCCTTGCCTCTTGACTTTGCAACGTTCAGATGCTCTAACCAGTCTTCCTCTGCCTCATCTATGATCTGGTGTTCGGGGTACAGGCTTCGCAGCTGGGGAATTGTTCCTATCCGTGGCGGGTAGTATGAGGCGACTGACGGACCCTTGAGGCGCTGGTGAAGGATGCGCGATCCTAGGCGCAGGCGTTCGGGATTATATGTGGTGTTGAAGACCTTGCACTGGACCTGCGCGCATGTCAGGATACAGACCCAACCCACCGCCTAGACACCGGAAGATGACGACTGCGAAAAAAGAAAGTAACGTACCCTCATCAGGTCCAACACCCGCTGTCGTGGGACTGCCATTGTGCTTGCAATGCTTGGTCTTCTTGCTTGGTGCGCCATCGACGTGAAATGGCCGGCGGAGGTGCCCTTGGCGCCCGCAACTAGCGCCCGCCGCCCTGTCATGTAACTTTTTGGTCGTCAATGCTCTTTCCCGCTTCCATAACAAAAAGAGAATTAGGAGCTGGGCCGGCCACTCGTCCACCACTATGGCATCGCATAAACGAGGAGGAGGCTTCAATCATTATGGCCGCGATCACCACAGCAAGAAGCACTACCCGCCTCTCCAGCGCAATGCACCACAACCAGAACTCTCCTCGGCGGATATGCAAACGGGCCTGATAGCTTTGTTGGATAGGTTCGTCGCCGAAGAGACGACTCCCGGGGCGGACAAGGAAATCCTCTACCACGCGAATGAGCTACGACGCCGGCTTTGCGCTCGCGACCACGGCACTTCATCGCAAGCGAAACGCGAACTCGACGAAAAGCGACCCGACAAGGCCGTCCAGGTCGCGATTCCCGATTACATATATCGCAAAGTCCAAGAATCCAAAGACCTGCCTCCTCTGCCCCCCATCGCTGAGCCCCATCTCCACGAAGCCGTCTTTACCCATCGATCCGCCATTTACGACCCGAGTATCCCTGGTTCCTCGCTGGGCGGAGACCTCAGCCTAGACTACGAACGTCTTGAGCTCCTCGGCGATGCCTACATCGAACTCATTGCCTCGCGCGCTCTATACAATCGCTTCCCACACGTCGACGTTCCGGAGCTGTGCATGTGGCGCGAACGTCTGGTCGAGAACTCGACACTGGGCAAATTCTCCGAGGCGTACGGTTTTCCCGATCGACTGAAGCACCGGGCCCTATGGGACAAGAACTCGAAGCAATACCACAAAGTCGTAGCCGACATGGTCGAGGCCTACGTCGCAGCAGTCGTTCTTTCTGACCCAGCGCACGGTTTCGAGGCCGCCGAGGCATGGCTTACAGAACTTTGGGCGCCACAGTTGCTCAACTTCAGGGAGAAGATTATTGAGAACCCTCAAGCGCGCGACCAACTTAACAAGCTAGTCCTCGGAAAGGGCGTCAAGCTCACCACAAAGGAGGAGAAACCCATGACATACGACTCCAACAGCGTCCAGTGCTACCACATGGGTATCTATCTCACAGGGTGGGGTTACCACGACGAGTGGCTCGGTAGCGGCGAAGGTCAGAACAAAGTCCAGGCCGGCGTTGCAGCTGCAGCCGACGCCCTCAAGCGAGACAGCCCCGTGCTAAAGGACGCAATACGACAGAAGAACGAGCTGAGGGCAGCAAAGCTCAAAGAGCAAGAAGAAAAGGCAAAGGCCAATCAAGACACAGATGTTCCAGCTCCAAATGGTGGCGGCGGCGGCGGCGAATCTGGCCCCAAGGAGAAGATAGACGACGACGACAACGACGCCCCAACTAAGAAGCGGAAAAAGGAAGACGAGTCTACTTTACCCGAGCAGAAGAAGCACAAAAAGGAAAAGAAGAAGAAAAAGGAGACATAGTCCAAATGTCCGAGCGATGATAGCGATTGAGAGGGTAGAACCGGGCCTAATTTCCTCATGCCACAGCATCCTGGCTCTTTTGGTCGAAAAGACTGTCTTTTTCTGACAAGAGCGCTTCCCAGGAGCTAACTAATATTCCAATACACTGTAGACAAATAGCAAAGGTAGGAGACTCCATTGTAGATGCCTAGACCTTTTTTGCTACTGACCCGGGTTGTGTATGTGGTATTCCCCCCCCCCCTCTTCTTCGTAAACAAAAAACAACGCCAACTGCCCAATAATTTCCCAAATACGCACTTTTTTCTTTACTGCTTCTTCAGCGCCCGCCCCGCAATGTCCTTGCGGTACTGCATGCCCTCAAAGTGTATGCACTCGACACCCTTGTAGGCCTTTGCTACGGCTTCCTCAAGCGTAGGCGCTGTTGCTGTGGATGCGATGACGCGACCGCCAGACGTCTTGAGTGTGTTGTCGGAGAAGGAAGTTCCGGCGTGGAAGAGTACGACATCTGTCTATAGTTAGCACAACCTGTACGGTTTAGTTTAGAATAATGAGATTGCAGCTCACCTTCTGGTGTGGCATCTAGCTTCATGACTGTGCCCTTTGCATAGCTGCCTGGGTATCCGCCGGCCGCGACTACTACGGTAGCGGCAGAACGGTTGGATACCTTAACATCGACATCTGCTAACCGTCCATCTGCGCATGCGACCATGACTTGGGCAAGGTCGCCCTCCATAAGCGCCAACAGACTCTGTGTTTCGGGGTCGCCAAAGCGGACGTTGTACTCGAGTACCTTTGGTCCATCCTTGGTCATCATCAGGCCGGTGAACAGCACGCCCTTGAACTCGAAGCCCTCGCTTCGCATGCCGTCAATAGTGGGCTGTAGAATTTCCTTGTCGACGCGATCGAGGACCTCGCGTGGTGCAATGCGCGTTGGAGCATATGTGCCCATGCCTCCCGTGTTGGGGCCCTGGTCGTTGTCGAAAATGCGCTTGTGGTCTTGTGCAGGTGGGAGAGACTTGATGGTGCGGCCGTCGCTGAAAGTAAGAATCGACAACTCATCGCCCTCAAGGAATTCCTCAATGACCACCTCGTCACCCGCTGCGCCAAACTCGCGATCTAGCATGATGTCTTTGAGCGCCGCGTGGGCTTCCTCCTTGGTCTGGGGGATGATGACGCCCTTTCCTGCTGCCAGGCCCGAGGCCTTGATCACTACCGAGTGTGAAATGGTGTCTAGGTAGGCTTTGGCATCCTCATGTTTGCTGAAATTTTCGTACGCTGCGGTGGGAATGTTGTGTCGCTTCATAAAGTCCTTGCTAAAAGTCTTGCTGCCTTCCATGGTTGCGGCCTTTTTTGAAGGGCCAAACGCCTTGATGCTCTCCAGTACATTCTCCTTAAAGTAATCTACAATGCCTGCGACTAGTGGTGCCTCGGGTCCTGGTATTAACAAGTTCACTTGCTTCTCCTTGGCAAATTCGACAAGGCCGGCGAAATCGGTGTCCTTAATGTGTGTAACATTGGTGACTTTTGACGAAAGGGTTGCGGTCCCTCCGTTACCGGGGCAAACGTAAATGTGCTCAGTCGAAGGCGACTGCAGTAATTTCCAGGCCAAAGCGTGCTCACGGCCGCCATTGCCGACAAGGAGAACTCGGACACTTTCTGTCATGGTATGCGATTGGGTCTGAATGGTGCAGTGCTGTGCGTTTGTGATGTTGCACTGTTGCGACGGGAAATTTTTGGGATGGTGGATGCCCCGCCGTGGGGTAAATGACAGGGGTGCGCGGGCGCGGGAGGGGTGAGGTCATTGCCAGCCAGCCCTAACAGGCCATTGACGAGTGGTATTAGAGCGCGAAAAGACTGATTATTTGCGTGGCACCAAAAGTTTGCGATTTTGAACGATAAGATTCATCTTGAAAACGGGTATCTTTTTGACTATTAATTACCAACTTGAAAGAACCGCACTGAACAATATCATGGTCCAGTGGATATGCCCGAACAGACTTGCGTTAATGATGCTGTGTAGACGATGACCAGCATTCTGTATCTACTACGCTTCTCTGGCAACAGATGCTATGCGTCCTTGAGGAAAGTAGCAAGTCACCGAGTGTGGATGAACAGGAGACCTAAGTAAGTTGCTGATGTTTGCTTTCCGTTTGTGAGGTCAGCCAAGGGAGCATGTGGAAGGCATGGAGACGCGTGTTAGCGGGACTTGCATATCACTGAACAAGCGTGATGTGATGCCGGATCCTGGTTGTGGGTATGTATCGATGGGCGCGCTCCGGATGGTATAGACACTTGTGTGTTCGAGCGGGAGTGCGTGGCATGGCCATTAGGCGGAAACATATCATCCTAAGCCATTGTGGTTCTGCTTTGCGCGCATGAACAGCTGGCCTAACACGTCTGGTTGTGCAGGGCTGGCATGGGTCATGTATGGCTGCTGCTGATGCTGGTGCTGCTGTGGTGGATGGTGCATGCTGGGCATTGGGTGACTATCGTGGTGGTGCAGGCTAAAGTCGGCATCTTGCTCACGCTGCTGCCCAAAGAGCTCTCTCAACGACAGCTGGCGGCCCATGGGGGTGGAAGAGACAGCGTCTGGTGAGCCGTGGAGAGCAGCACGGCTTGCTTTGGCCCTGTCGGCGACGGCCATCATCTTAGCGGCCGTTTCCTGGCGGCAGTTTGCCGTCGACGAGGGCGGTGGATCGGCAAAGATCCAGATGCCGTACACTTGCTCGCCCTGAATGATGACATAGGGATCCGAGATCTCCATTTCATCGCTGCTGGTGAGCTCCTCGTAGAAGTTGTCGAGTCCTCTGCGGTTGAGGATAATGGCGCAGTAGCGCTCGGCGCCCAAGGGCGAGGGTGTCAGCTGGCAGATAAAGAGGGTGCCCTCAACGCCCATCTTCTCCCACTGCTGCGTCTCGAGGTTGAAAGTGTAGAGAGCAGCATAGGGGGTGACATGCTCAATTGACGTAAGGGCAGGATACTGGCGGCGGAGGACCGACAAGTTGAGCTCTTCGTTGGAACGCGGCGGGGGGAGGGGCACGTCGACCGAAGGTATGACATCTGTCTCGTAGTCCGAGGGCGGCGGCTGCTGAGGCTGGCTGGCGCGAGCTTTGCGATGCGGCGCCATGGTGTTATGGTGTTGTATGTGTATGTATACACATGTATGTAGTAAACAGTACTATGTAATAAGTAAGTATATAAGCAGCGGGCATTAGTTAGTGCTGAACAATAATCCCACAAGCTTGGGCCCCACCTAGCACCACCACAGCCACAGCACAACAGCCTCAGCGTCGTCATTGCCAGGCGCCCGCTTACCCTCCCCCGTGCTGCCAAATCTCCACTTCCACCATGGCGTCACTGCACCAGCACCAGCAACCGTCCTCGCTCTCCTCGCTCTCCTCGCCTCCACCCCGCCATGACATCTGAAGCCACCTCTGTGCAGTCGACAGAGCGATTAGATGCCACCATTCCCGGCGCATTTCTTGACCCGCGCTCCCCGAGCGTCGCATCCGTCACTACACAACAGACATCCCTCTCCCAGGTCCTATACGACCGTCGTGCTGAGTACACGCGCCCACAGACTGTGCGCATCAAGGTCGGCTCCTGGAACACGGCCGCCCAAAAAGGCACAGAACAAGACATTGGCAAATGGTTTATCAAGGGCAGCGGTGTAGACGGGGCCCTTGGCGGTTTGGGCGTGTCGGACACTGGCTCTCATGATGTAGTAGCTGTGCCAGGCGGGGAGGATATCGACATCTACGTGTTAGGCCTGCAGGAGATTGTCGACATCACCTCGGCTGCTGAGGCTCTGCGGCCCTTTACCGATCCTTCGACCGCAAATAGATGGAAGGCTCAGCTCGAAGCAGCCTTGCCTAAGGGCTACAAACTGGTGACAGATCAGCAGCTCATCGGCCTGTGGTTGGCCATCTACGCTTCGCCACAAATCCTCCCTCAAATCAAGAATGTCAGCACCACGAGCGTTGGTACAGGCCTCATGGGTTACATGGGCAACAAGGGTGCTGTGACAACGCGCATTGTCTTGGGCGAGACGACACGTCTTGTCTTTATAAATTCCCATCTTGCAGCTGGTGCCGACAAAGCATCCTTAGACCGAAGGAACTGGGATGCTGCCCAAATCACCACTCGCACTCGCTTCGATCCTATCGTCAGTGGCTTGGGCCCTTCACAATCTAGCGGCGAAGGTCTTGGTGATGAGGATTTCGCCTTTTGGTTCGGCGACTTGAACTATCGTCTCGAAGGCATGCCAGGAGACGACGTGCGCCGCTTACTGACAATTCACACCCAAGACCTGGACTCTCATGAGAGCCAAGGTAGACTATCCACGTCCGCCGACTCGGGATATGATTCGAGACAATCGTCTGAACAAACACGTGACACGGCTCCTGTACCCGATGAACTGGATCCAGCGTCGCTACAGACTACCCTCTCATCTCTGCTTCCACACGATGAGCTGCACCAAGTCATGAAGCAAGGAAAAGCCTTCCATGATGGCTGGGAAGAAGGCCCCATCCAGTTCCTGCCATCCTACAAGTACGATATAGGCAAGGTTGGCGTTTTTGACTCGAGCGAGAAGCGTCGCTGCCCTAGCTGGTGCGACCGCATCATATATCGAACCCGAGCATCCAAGCAGAAGTATGAGGCCAAAGTCAAGGAACAGGAGGCTGCACGCCGAATAGCTGAAGAAGTTTCATCAAAGGGCTTGGACGTTCCAGGGGATTACGACGTCATGTACGAGTACGACCCAGACACAGACGGCGCGACCTACGATGATTATGACGAGAACGAGACGCCCGAGCCGGAGCCAGTCAAGACAAAAGACGATTTATCTGTACGTCAATCGTGATATTACAAATCTTGCTACATTGCCACATCTTGCTGACTTGATGCTATTAGGCTGAGCTATTGCTCGAGTACTACACCACTCATATGCACATTCTCAGTTCCGATCACAAGCCACTAGACGCCGTCTTCCGGCTCCAGTATGATGCCGTTGTCCCTGATCTCAAAACGGCTATCCACGCCGAAGTGGCTCGTGAGATTGACCGTCAAGAGAACGAGGGCCGACCTTCCATTGCCGTAGCAGTGGAACGTACTACTGGCTCCTCTTCACCTGGTGAGGAGAAGAAAACAGATAGCGCGTTTGAGGGAGTCGACTTCGGCGAGGTCAAATTCGCAAAATCTTACCGACGCAACATCACCATAGCCAACACTGGACGTGTCCCAGCCACCTTTGGATTTGCAATTCGTCCAGTAGAGAAAGGCCAACCTGCCGGGCCTTTTCCTTCTTGGCTCAGTGTTGCATTCGACAGGGATCAAGACAAGCTCGACAGGCCAACGCTAGATGATGTTCAACAGTGTTTCACCCTCGAACCGGCCGATGTCCTAAACGTCGAATTGAAACTCAAGATTGAAAATCTGGGTTCCGTACGTGATCTCAATGAAGGCGACTCGGTCCTGGACGAAATCCTCGTCCTGCGCATCGCAAATGGAAGAGACCACTTTCTGCCTATCCGCGCTCATTGGCTGCCTTCTGTGCTTACCAGGTCCATTGACAAATTAATCAAAATCCCGGAAGGAGGTATTCGGAAGTTGCAGCATCAGATACCTGCCCGTGGCGAGGTAAAATGGAGCGTGCCTAGGGAAATCTTCCGGCTGACTGAGGCGATAGAAGACCTGACGGAACGGACACTAGCTGAATGGGAGATGACAAAGGCCGAAGGAGAGAGGGCACCCTGGCAAGATAACGCAGGATGGCCTTTTGTCAAAGGACGAACTAGTGCGAGTCCGGAGAGGGAAGATGAGCTCGCAGAAGTCTACGATGCATTAGACTGCGACACACCTTTCGCTGGTGCCTTTACCCCAGAGACTCGTAGTAGAGAACGAACCGAGGTATTATCCGAAGTCCTTGTCGCCTTTCTTTCCAGCCTCACCGACGGCGTCATCACGAAGAGTTTATGGGAGAGACTGGAAGAAGCGCTTATCCGCCGTGAAAAGTCCAACGCTCCGGCTTCTCCAGATGATGATAAAATGACTATCCTTGAGATCCTTGCTTCAGCTCCCAACCACAACGCCACATTTCTACTCATTCTCTCTTTCCTTCACAACATTGCAAATCAGATTACAGAAGTATCGAAGCCACGTCCGGAGGGCTCCAATGATAAGAGAGCAAGTGCAGACATGAGTCTTCCTTCCAGTCCGCAAGCCCAGGTCAGGAGAAAGACTCTCAGCAAAGTCCCCGAGGTGGCGATTCGGCAGCTCATTGTGAGAAATTACGCAGTCGTATTTTCAGACTGCTTAGTGAGGTGGAAAGATGGCAGCAAAGAGAAGGAAAAGGCTGTACAAAAGGAGAGGATGGTGGGTGTCATGGAGCTGTTCCTCAGGATAGAGTAAACCTTACCCCAATTGATACCATCGGTGGCTGCTAAGGGAAGGTTGATTGGAAGTATAAACCCCGATAGTGATACCCATTTAAATAACTTTGGACAATTGCATACGGCGATTTCCATAATATTGAAATGAAATTATAAAACTGTTGTCTTGGTGCACGTCTGTGCGGAGAAAACATGCAGGCAATCTCACCTGGACCCTTTCTCAGGGTCTGGTCTGGCTGACTCCAACTTGCGCCATGCCATAAAAGGCATAGTGTATCTGCATCAACTAGGGTTGAACCTAGCGCAGCCAAGATATCAAAAGACGCCCATAAAATCGCTCTCAGAGGCTCCCCTCCCACATCCTCTCTATTAATCCCATATTTTATCCTAGATTGCAATATCACAATGTCTTCTCCACCAGCCTCCTTGATACATCTCCGCACTCCACCGGAACCAGGCAAGAAATCGGCCTCGCGGACCTACATTATCTACTTTGTTACTGGTAATCCAGGACTCGTCGAGTATTACCGTACTTTCTTGACCCATCTTTATGGCCTGTTGAGCCATAATACAGCATCCGACCGCGATGTTGAATTCCAGGTGTACGGAAGGAGCTTGTCAGGCTTTGAAATGAACTCCAAGGAGATCAAGACGATGAAATGGCGTAAACAGCCGCCATACGGACTACAAGATCAAATCCGACATGCCGAGGACGAGTTGACAGACTTGGTGGAAGAAGTCAAAGACCAGGGTGCAAAGGATGTTAGAGTGATCCTGGTGGGGCACTCGGTCGGCGCATACATCTCACTAGAAATCATTCGCAGGCTGAGGGCACATGGCCTTGCAGGTGACGATTTCGAGACCAGAGTTGTTGGTGCCATAGGACTGTTCCCTACAGTTGTGGATATTGCTCGGAGCGAGAGTGGGATGAGGGCTGCTGTATGTCTATGTTACCGCTCTATCTGACGGAACGCTACTAACCATGTGATGCAGCCTTTTCTCAAAAACTCCAATTTTTCGGTGTTCGCTGCGCTTTTTGTATATTTTTTAACATATGTACTTCCTGTATCTCTCATAGCTACACTCGTGGCAAAGTTCATGGACTTTCCTCCAGATGCTGCTCATACAACTGCGGCATTCATCAAGTCCCCACACGGCGTCCAACAAGCGCTACACATGGCGCGCGATGAAATGTTCCAAATCGACACCGACATCTGGGATGAAGAAATCTGGGGAGCCTCCGCCTCCGAGCCACCAACCAAGCATCCGCACCCCCGACCTATTTTGCGCTTCTTGTTTGCACGCACTGATCATTGGGTTGCGGATGCCACACGAGATGCGTTGATTAACAACCGCGGTAGATATGGCAGAGGTGATGTAGAGGAAGTGGATGGTATGGGAGAGAACTGGAAGCCAATCATGGAAATTGACCATACAGAGGGATGGCCACATGGATTCTGTATTAGACACGGTGTACCGGTTGCTGAGAGGGTAGCTGGATATGTGAGGGGCATGGTGGCACAGGATATGTCGAGGAAATAGTTTGATGTGGACAATCAACTCAGGCATCTTATTGAAAATAATAGAGTACAGAATGTTGATGTGAGAAATCAGAGTGTTTTATAGTATTCCTGGGGGTGTTATGTCATCTCTGGTTCTTAGTCACCTCGTCTAGTCCGAGGTGGAGGACAATTGCACGTATGGAACGCGAGTCCACGTGACTAAGTCTAATGCCGGCATATCTCCGCTCCATCGCCGACGTCCAAGCTCCGCGAGCTTGGGCGTCACCAAGGCTGTCAAGATGCTTCCACTACAACAGACAAGTCTGCGCACCGAAGCCTCGGATATTTCAGAGACCAGGAAGAGTAGCAGAGGGCCGCGCAAAATATGACCCCAAACGTATAATAGCAGCGAGCCGATTCCACGTCCCAGAATGGCGTACGACATGTCGAGCGGGTATGCGCCGCCGAGCACAAGCAACATGCAAGAGGATGCCTCGCTCCCCATGTTCAACATCGAGCGCGTGTCTCTGCAGTTCAACATATCCTCTGACTTTGTCGCCGCTGCGGTAGCAAATAATGTTCTGATCCTGGCCCTCTCTACCGGTCGTATTCTGCGTATAGATCTGGATAGTCCTGCAGACATAGATGGTTCGTCATGCACACTCGAGTGCTAGAGCATTCCAGCAGAACAAGCGCTTACTCGCATGTTAGATATTGATCTGCCCAAGAAGCCCTCGGAGATTGGCGTTATCAAGCGCCTTTTCCTAGACCCCTCCGCATCCCATCTCATCGTAACCACTACCCTCGCCGAGAACTATTATCTCCACACACAGTCGCGGACGCCGAAGGCATTGTCGAGATTGAAAGGAGTTGTCATCGAGAGCATATCATGGAATCCCTCGCAACCGACCGCTTCAACGAGGGAGATTCTGATTGGATCCTCAGACGGCAATGTGTATGAAGTTTATATTGAGCCCTCGTCCGAGTTTTACAGGAGAGAAGAGCGGTACCTGAAGAGCGTATACAGAACAAACGATGGCCCTGTAACAGGTCTGTGGACAGACATGGTGCCTGGGCGGTCGGATCTGCGCCGCATCATTGTTGCTACGCCCTCCACATTCCTACATTTCTCTGGCAAAGTCGGACGCCAAGGAAACGAGGGAAGCGGATCCATCTTCTCCAAACTCTTCGAAAGCGAGTCTGCCACCGTACACGAAGTGTTGAATGTGGCTCCTACAGCGACCTCTTTGCTGGCTGTCTCTCCGGAAAACCAAGAGAACCCCAACAGAGAGGACCTACAGACGGAGAGAGTATTCGGTTGGCTGACATCACAAGGCGTGCTGCATGGAAAACTGTACTTATCACAAGATACTTCTGAGCTTGGTGGCAAAGTTCTTGGTGACGCGAAGATGCTACCCCGATCCCAGATACCACCTTCACAAACTGCTAGTGGACGCGCTCGCAGGACGCAAGAGGCCGTCACTTCTATGGTGTTAAGTCAGTGGCACATACTCCAACTTGTCGAAGGTAGGATCGTAGCCATCAATCGCCTCGATGATACCGTTGTTCTCGATCAGGTGGTGCTTGACCAAGGACAAAGTGCATTAGGGCTGGTGGCAGACCTGAAGAAGAACACATACTGGCTCTTTACGACCCAAGAGATTTTCGAAGTCGTCGTAACGGATGAGAGTAGAGACGTCTGGAAGATCATGCTCAAGTCACAACAGTTCGAGGCGGCATCGCAGTATGCTAAAACACCAGCGCAAAAGGATGCGGTAGCTACAGCATCTGGTGATTACCTCGTCGGCAAGAACCAATACATGGAAGCAGCGACCGTCTACGGGCGAAGCACAAAACCCTTTGAACAGGTTGCACTAACATTCATCGACAATGGCGAGCAAGATGCCCTGCGGAAGTACCTGGTCACCAAACTGTCAACGTTGAAAAAAGGTGCCATCATGCAACGGACCATGGTGGCTGTGTGGCTGATTGAGCTCTACATGGCGAAACTTAACACGTTAGACGACACTATCACAACAAAAGCAGAACTCTCCGAGAGCATGAACACTGCTGAGACTCATGACCAGCTCTCAGTGATCCGGAAAGAGTATCAGGATTTTGTATCAAAGTACAAAGGAGATCTGGATCGAAAGACGGTATACGACATCATCAGTAGCCACGGCCGGGAAGAAGAATTGTTGTTCTTTGCGACAGTTGTGAACGACTACAACTATGTGCTCTCATACTGGGTCCAGCGCGAGCGCTGGCAAGAATCATTGAGTGTTCTCAAGAAACAGACAGACCCAGAGATATTCTACAAGTACAGCTCTGTTCTCATGGCGCATGTGCCAGTCGAGCTTGTTGACGTTATGATGCGGCACTCCAATTTTGATGCGCAGAAGCTCATCCCGGCTTTCCTCAACTACAACAGCCAAACCAAGGTCCCGTTGAGTCAAAACCAGGCCGTCCGTTATCTCCTCTTTGAGATCAACCAACGCAACTCAACAGATGCGGCAATTCACAACACTCTCATTTCCATCTACGCATCACATTCCACGAAGGATGAATCAGCGCTGCTCGCCTACCTGGAAGGCCAATCGCTTGCTCACGAGCAAAACTACGACGCCGACTTTGCCCTTCGCCTCTGCATCCAACACAAGCGTGTCCAGTCATGCGTGCACATCTACAGCTCGATGCAGCAATACGTGCAAGCCGTGGACCTAGCCCTGAAATATGACGAGGTAGACCTCGCATCTTCCGTCGCCGACCGGTCAAATACTGAGCCTGCTCTCCGCAAGAAGCTCTGGCTCGCCATTGCCAAAAAGGTCATTTCCCAGTCGAGCGGCATCAAGACCGCGATTGAATTCCTACGCCGCGTCGACCTTCTTCGAATAGAAGATTTGATACCTTTCTTCCCCGACTTTGTCGTCATTGACGACTTTAAAGAAGAGATTTGCGCGGCCCTCGAAGACTACAGCCGCAAAATTGATAATCTCAAACAGGAAATGGATGATAGCGAGGCAACTGCTACACATATCAAGTCCGACATCAAGGCTCTTGAACAGCGATATGCGATTGTTGAACCGGGTGAACGCTGCTACGTCTGCGGCTTGCCACTGCTGGCGCGTCAGTTCTTTGTTTTCCCCTGCCAACACGCGTTCCATAGCGATTGTCTGGCTAAGAGGGTGGTGGAGCTCGCGGGGATTGCGCGTGGGAAGCGCATTGCTGAGTTGCAGGTTGAGGTGCAGAAGGGGATTAAGACGGGGGCGAGTAGGGAGAAGGCGATTCGCGAGCTGGATGCGCTTGTGGGGAGTAGCTGGTAAGTTGTCGACGTTTCCATCTTCCCGGATACAGATACTAACGTATTGGGTGTGATAGTGTGTTATGCAGTGAGTTGGCTGTCAAACTCGTTAACGAACCGTTTATCAGCGCGAATGACGACAAGGACGAATGGGCGCTTTGAGATGACAAACCGTTGTCAGGCAGTTCTTCAAACATGTGCTAGCAATCGTTCTCACAAGCCAATTTAATGAGTAGACGCGAAACATTTATAGTGTACATTGTACCAAAGAAACTTTTTTAGTCGACCCTTCCACCAAGTGAACGGTATATACAAATTTTCTTATCTCGGCCCCTAGAAATTCCCCCCAACCCACCATTTACCCATTTGCATCGCAAAAAACAAAACGTGGATCTGAAATGGATGAGATTAAGAAGAATACGATACCTACTGTCCCCCCTTTCTCCTAGACGCCACGGCGCTGATGCAAAAGAATCCGGACAAAAAAAGAGGAACAAGACCAGACAGATGAAGGGGAAAATGCCTTGAAATAGTCTGAGGAAGAAGCGATGCAAGATGGGATGATGGGAGTCTTGGAAAAAGAACGCCACCGGATATAAACTAATGATTATCAAAGACCTGAACCCACTCCCTTTCAGATCATCATGACATGTCGTGCCTGTATGTAAACTAAGTTTTGGAAGCGACTCTCTACTCGTCTTCGTCATCGTCCATGGCCACGTCGTTTGACTTGTGGGCTGCTGTTGCGCCGTCATCGTCATCCTCGTCTTCATCGTCGACGACACGGGCTTTGCGTGGCCGAGGGGCAGCAGCAGCAGCGCCTTCATCGTCGCTTCCAGCGGGAGCAGCACCGTCCTTGTCGGCGTCATCGGCAGGGGCCGCCGCACTGTCATCGTCGTCGCTTTCATCGTCAATGAACTCTGCAGACTTGTATTTGCCTGAGGGCTCGCTCTTGCGAGCAAGCTTCCTCTTCTTCTTCTCACGTGGTCGCTCACCATCGGATAATTCCTCGGTACCACTGACTGTGGTCCTCCGGCGCCTTGAGCGTGGCTCATCGTCGTCAGAAGGCAGGCCGTCTGTGTCAGAGTCGGCATCCTTCTTCTTGCGCTTGGGTCCCTTTGGTCCGCGTGCTTTACGTTCAGCTTTGCGAATCTCCTTGTCTTCGTCGTCTTCCATTCGCTTGCGTTCTTCTTCATTGCGCTTCTCCATGAGCTCACGGTCACGCTGAATAAGACGCTCTTGCTCCTCTACATACTTGCGTTTCTTCTCCAGAGCCTCTTCCTCCAGGCGCTTCTTCTCCTCTTCACGACGGAGTTTTTCTGCTTCACGGAGACGGCGAGCCTGGTCGAGTTTGGTTGCATTCTCGCCTTCGTATGCTGCTTGCTGTTCGCGGGCACGCTCGAGTTGCTTGATCATAGTGTTGCGACCCATGTTTGCACGGGAAGTGATATCGGCACGGGGGAAGGGCGGTGTTTCCTCCTTTGCGAGTTTCTCAAGAGCCTCAATGGCTTCTGTGAGACCTGTTGCAGCGTCATCGACTTCTTCGAGGGTACGTTGATGCTCTGGACGCGAATAGATCATGGTAGCGATCTGGAACTGGACAAAGGCAACGTTGAATTGCGAGTTAAGATCGGCGGGAGCGGCCTTGAGAGCTTGCTTCGAGTAGTCGAGCGCGGTCCGGAAACCAGCTATGCTGCGCTCATGCTTGGCTCGGAGGTACCATGCTCGTCCAAGGCAGG